CAGGTACATACCAAGTGCTACAGTAGCACTGATTGCACAATTCTGCTGCCACTGTGCATCACAAATACCTGTCCTTTTCCTCACTCCATGCAGCCTTATGTGTTTTACTCAGCTTGGTGGGAGTAATGGAGATGTTCACACTAGTCCAGTATTGAAGTTACATGAGTATACAGTGCAGCTTACAGCTTATGGACACAGGCTTTATAGCAGTTCAGAAACATCACATGCCATTTGGTAACTTGAGTCTCCTTGCAACATCTGACTGATAACAATCCATTTAACTGGAAGATAAGCACACTGAAGAAGCTTGGTCAGTTGGACAGCAAAGACCCATTTCTCCTATTGGAAAGGTCCTTCAATTCAGGTTTTAGGGCAGTAACAGAAGAATGGGGAATGTGCATGAGAATGGAACATGGGAGAGCATTTCAGGCACATGAAAAACATAAGGAACAGGGAGGCTGGAAGTATGATGCTATGGAGGGAAAAGTGGTTACTTTCCCAGGAAAGGGAGCTGCAGCAGAGGCACTGACATCTGAAGTGACCAAACTAGTCATCCTGGTGGTTTGAACACTTCTACTTGAATGAAACCATGATAGAGATATTTTTTTACCTGAATTTGCACATAACTTACTAATTGTCAAAGAGAAATATATGCACAGAAGGAGAGGAATTGTAAAAGATTTTTTTTTTCTGAAAGCTGTGTAGGAAGTAAAAAGAAGACGACAATGGACCAAAGAATCTCCATAAATCTGCTTCTACTTCATGAATTAAAGCTGTGAATTCAATCTTTAGTTACAGGGAGAGTTCAATCTCCATATAAATGATTATTACTGTCTTACATAATTCAGTGCTAGCCTTTGGATGTTTGCTCTCTTATGTACATATATGTACTCTGGCAGTAAGCCGTAGTCACTCATTCACATTGATGAGAGTCAGAATTCTCCCTTACTGTGCACTCCATCTTGTCAGTGAGAGAAAGGTCCTGAGGAAAATAAGAAGGTTTGTGATCACACCAGCAAAATTTGAATTACATTATATATGAGAGAGTTGAGCTGTTATTTCATATGCAGCTTTCAGTCTTGCATTTCATACTTCTGTACATTCAGCCATTGCTTTGTTATTTTGATAATAGGTGCCCTTTTTTTTTTTTCCTTTTTTTTTTTTTTTTCCCAAAGAAGTGCTATAAAGAAACCCCTTATTTTACATGCATCTCTAATGAAGTGTCTTCCCCTTTATTATTCAGCAGCCTTGCCCAGCTAGACTTTGGCTCTTTGTAGACTCACAGATATTAAGGCTCTTCACTTATTTGAATGAAGGAAAATGTCAGTGAAGAAATAAGGACAAACTATAGAGTCTTCAGGACGTTATCAAAGAAAGTCCAAGGAGGTAGACTTTTACTGGTTGCTGAACCTGATTGATGGCTCAAGTTTGTCCTTACATTAGATTTTTCTTGTTCCTGCATTGTTTTGTCAGGATAACAGCTGATAAACAGACAACTTCAGAAGTCTGTCTGCTTTGCCTAAGTAAAAGGCTTTTTTTACTGAGGGTGTTTCCTCTAGATGAACTATAATCGACTCTCATAAAGAAAAAGGTTTCAGATTTTTTGAGGAAGGTTCACAAGAATCACGGGAAGCACTAAAAAATTAAATGTAGTATACTCCTACTGCACTTTGAGAATAAAAAAAGATTCCAAAAATAGAAGTTACTTTCAGATTTAGCTAGAAGTCATAAGGTGATCATGTCTTTATGTTCACTTTTTGAACCTTTCCTCTGTCCACCAGATAAACTCACTGGAGTTCAGTAGCATCTGCTTAGTGAGTCTGCTCATTCCACATTTTGTACATGTTGAATAAGCTCTAGAGAATCCCTTTAGTTGAAGATAATTGTTCTTCCTTTTCAGGAAAAGTGTGTCTTTCTCTGCCAAAGAACTGGAAGGAAAAAACATTATTTTGTCATTGCCTTTTGATATTTTTCCACACTTCTAACTAAGAAGAGAAGGGAAACCCTCTCTGAATGCAGTAGATCCTGTGTTTTTGAAAGCATCATATGGATTATTCAGTATCTTGATAGCATTGAGGTGTCTGCTAATGTCTGGAACTTGCTGTGTTAAGGGACATTAGGATCATGGCTGCCATCTCCAGCACCCCTGGTTCATGGACTTCTGCCTGACTTGCTGGTCTTGTAGAGTCCAGCCTGGTACTTGGCATCTCTGTCTGGACTTGGAGGACATGGCTGCCATTTTCCTACTTGCAGGTTCATTCAGCAAAACTGAGCATATGTCCCAGAGACACACAGACAAGGCTGACCACACAGACAGCTGCAGACAAGGTGCTGCCTTCAACAGCATCTGCTTGTGGGATCCACTCCTCAGACTGACAGATGCATGCATGTTTGTGGGTCCCTTGAGTACTGGCAGGGCCCCACCGTCCACCCAGATCCCAGATTTCAGACTTCTTACCTGCTTCACAAGTCACCTACTCACAGGCTGTGCTTGAAGCTTGCTGCACATGTGCAGCACTCCCACACTCATCTCTCTTGCGTACTGCATTTAGTAATCTCCCTGAGGCGCCCTGCCTGCTTGACACCCTAGCCAAGACCTGAGGCCTCAGTAGTCATTGGTGCTCCAACTTAAAGTTTGCTGGCAAATATGAGGGTTACTCTGCAAGTAATGCCTGCTATTTTATCATGTTTATCATCTGTAGCTTCAGAGGTGTACATTGTTGGTATGGCAGTAGAGGTTGTACAATCCGTTCAGTTTTGTTGCTGTGTGACACATGGCAGCAGAGGGGCAGTCTGACAAAATGGCATCTGACATGGAAGCATGTGTAGAGCAAAGTTGTGGAATTGAATTCCTCCATACGGAAAAAATTGCACCTATTGACATTAATTGATTCTGAACATTTCTGGAGTCTGAACTGTGGATGTGATCACAGTGAGGTGATGGGTGCTGCATTTCAGAAATTTCAATTCCAACATTGGAATATTGTAAAGTTTGCACCTGCTGAGTCCCACAGATGCTCACACAGAAAAAGAAAGAACACCATATGCAAGTTTGTTGAGACCTATTGAACCAATATGAGGCTCAAGGCTGAAGGTCCTGGATTGCATCATTACTGGAAACAAGATGTGGTGTAACTGCTGTTAGCAAGTCAAGATGGCAGTCCATGAAATGAGGAAATATGAATTCCCCATTGAAGAAAATGTTCGAGAGACAGCCCTCAGTGGGTAAAGTGATGTGCACTTCCTTTTGGGATAGGAAAGGGACGATCTTGCTGTATTTCCTGGAACCCGGACAAACCATCACTTGTGACTGCTATGTTGCAATGCTGACTAAGCGGAAGGCTCTAACTTCCAGAGTCAGCCCAAAGGAGAAGACATCCTTTTTCTTACAGCACAATAACACGACGCCCCATACCAGTTTGAAGACTGAGGAGTACATTTCCAGACTTGGCTGGACTGTCCTACCACACCCACCATATAATCCAGATCTGACACCTTCTGACTTTCATCTGTTTGGGCCAATGAAAGAGAGACTTCATAGGCAACATTTTCCTAGCAATGACACCATCATAGCAGCTGTGAAACGGTGGGTCACCTCTGCTGGTGCAGATTTTTACAAGCGCAGCAAGCAATCTCTTCTTCATCATTGGTGAAAATGCATAGCTGGTGGTGGTGGCTATGTTGACAAATAGTGTTTTATAGCTGAGAATTTGCTATATCAAATAGTGTCATTGTGCTCTTTGTATCTATTTGTTTCCATGGAAGCTACAATTGGAGGCATTACTTTTGGAGCAGCTTACACACACATCTCATGCACACTGAGTTAAGTTACAGACACTTATCCCCTTAGTAGCTGGCACCTAGACTGGGATCTACTGCCCAGCTCCAGCCACTGATGTGGAGCCTGCCGTTGTCTCATGCTGGTGCCTCCCTAGAACTGATTTTTAGGACTGGCATCACTCCTGCTGCTGGCGGTGAGAGAGGCCTGGCTGGGGTGGAAACCCTGCCTGCTTTAGGAGCTGGTTCTAAGAACATTCCTATACTTGGGGTGAAATCTGATAAGACACAGATAAATAGTTAAGAAAAAAAATAATAATAAGACAAGACAGACTGCAGTGACTACCTGCAGGGCTCAGTCAGCCAAGTGTACTGACCAGGCCCCATTTTACATGACTGTTTTTTTATCCCATTCCATCTTCTCCTCCCATTCCTCCCCATTTACTAACCCTGCACCGTCCATCATCAACATACACAGTTCCGCAAACCCCCAACACCCTGAGTCCCCGGGTTTGCATCCTTATCAGTTGCAAAGCCCTGTTTGCATGCATTTTCTTGATTGCCTTCCAGTTGGTGTCAGACACATGTTTATCTCCTGGTTTTCTCCATGACATTAGCCTTCCAGACTTGTGGCTATATGTTTATTGCTTCCTCTAGCTTTTACTCTTTTTGAACTGAAGAAGTCATTTACTTCTTTGACACTTTAAGAAGCATTCTCCTTCTGCACGGACTTAGGGTTCCATTTGGAGATGCCATAGCAGAGAGTAACTATGAGGTCCTTGTAAAAGCAGCCTCTCAAGGTCAGATAGCAGAACCAAGAATGTGTTAGCTTCTTCCTGCCTCTAAGTCAAAGTTCAAACTTTTTTTTTTTTTTTCCCCTGGTCAAATAGCTTTCCTTAGCAATGAGAAGTGATGTTGGCCCATTAATTACAAAAATACCCTCCAAATCCTGGCTTTAACAGTATGACTTGATGGTACAGTCATTAAAAGCAGAGAAACATTTCCAGAAGTCAGTGGGAAAGCATAGATTCCAGGGAACTGTACAGTATGAGCCATGTTAAATTCAAGCTAAGGTTTTCAGCAGTGCCACTGTGTTATTGTGAGTTCTTTCAGGAGGGGGCACGATAAGTGCCTACTCACCTACATCCCTGTATTCATGATATGCTGTATTTTTTATTTATTTTTTCCATTCTCACATTTGTCATGTGTCTACCTTTTTTCAGGTCAAAAGGTGTGCTATGGTGGCTTCAAGCGTTCCTGCTACAAGATAGCTTATTTCCAGGACTTGTCTAGACGCGTGGGCTTTCAGGAGGCCCGCCAAGCTTGTGAAATGGATGGCGGGGCTTTACTGAGCTTGGAAAGCGAAGCTGAGCAGCAACTAATAGAAAACATGTTGCAGAACCTCACTAAGTCAGGCTCTGGGATTTCTGATGGTGATTTCTGGATTGGGTTGTGGAGAAGTGGTGATGGACTAGCCACCTCCAGTGCTTGCCCTGACCTCTACCATTGGGCTGATGGAAGTATTTCACCCTTCAGGTAAGTCTCTAAAGATGCTTTTTGAGGAGGTATAATGGAAATAAGCAAAGAGTGAAATGTCTGGTAAAAAAAATACCATAGAATTGTAAAATCACAGAACAGGTTGGGTTGGAAGGGACCCACTTGCTGTCCTATGAAGTTAATAGCATAACTCCTTAACTTCTCCAGCCAAAGGGGAGCTGGCCGCCAGGGTTTTGAGTTTTAATCTGTGAAGGGATAGCATAGAGGATGGCAGCCTACAATTTTCTTTGCTTCCATTTCAAATAAATTCTGCAAGACTGCCCACCACAAGTCAGGCAGCTAGCCAGCAAGTAAATTAATGCAGGTTGCTTAATGCAAACTGTTCTGTTTCTACTCTGTCTTTTGAAAAAGCTTTAATTTCATGATTAAGCATAAGGCCATAAAAACAGCAGCTCACAAGCCTCAGGACAGAGGGGGACTGTTAAGAGTCAAATAGGAATGAAAACGGGTAAAAGAGCAGTGTTATTTCTAACAGAATGTTATTTCTACAGAGATGGTTTTGATCAGAACTTTAAGATCCAGAAATTTGCAGTCCAGGTTCTAAATGCCTTTTATAGAGGTGTTGTGGGAAATGTTTTAATTGCTGAAGAAGATGAAGTCACATTTTTTTATTGATATTAATTGTTCTCCTTGATATTCTAATTAATTTTATTGTCAAAAATTGAAAGTTTTTATTTATTTACTGCTAGAAATTGGTATACAGATGAGCCTTCCTGTGGAAGTGAAGCCTGTGTTGTCATGTATCATCAGCCAACTGCAAACCCTGGTCTGGGAGGGCCATATCTTTATCAATGGAATGATGATAGATGCAACATGAAGCACAATTTTATCTGCAAGTATGGCCCAGGTAGGTGAAACTAAAGTCATCTCTCACAGATGGGATGCTTCCTTAGAAAATCAATTGCCTCTTGTTTTGTGAAGGAAGATGCAAATGTCTTCTGGCCACACTATTAGACTTCCCAATGTTACAATGTTACTGATTCCTTTGGAGAGTGAGTGACAGAGCTGACATTAATTGGAGTTGCAATTTATCAAAGCTAGTGGTATTTTGAGTAAAACTATCTGCGTTCAAGAAGAATGTTTTTTCAGTGTTAGCTTCACTATCTTTCCTTCTCAGGATTACATTGATTTTACTTACTTACTAGTTTATTCTTCAAAAAATTGTTCTAAACAGCTATTTTCTCCTTCCCCTACTTGCTCTCACATAGGATGGTCAAACCATCTCTTGATCCTACCACAAAAATTTAAGCTGTTTTTGCAATTTCATACCTCTGAAATTCTGTATCAACTTCTTTATGATAATTATTTCTAACAGTATTGTTTTAATGAAAGAAAACAGCAAGTCCAGAACAGTAGGAAAAAAAGTCTTCATCTGCAGATGATGACAGAAAAAAACAAGTCTTATGCGATGTACTTCAGGCATGATATAGGTTCAGCAGAGGAAATGTGAACTATGAACTAGAACACTGTGCAATCAGTAAAAAGACATGAGAAGTAAACTTTGAAGTTGAACCTGTAACAGCTTTTGCTTTTGATGGTACCTACAGAAAATCAAACCATGTTTTTCAGCAGGACCATGCACATATCTTCAAACAATGTATAGTGTTTTTGCTTTTCAAAAACTAAGCTGCAAGTCAGAATTAATATAAAATCCTACTTTTAGCAGCTGTTTAATCTACCAAATTCTGCATAATTTCCTACCTGCTTTTTGTGTACTCATGATCTAGTAATGATCACAATCATTGTGATCACAGGCTATTTTCTTCCACCAGCTGTCATGGATAGACACTTCTCTCACTGGCTATTGCCATAATGACATTATTAATGGCAATTAATATTGTAAGCAGATATTAAATACTTGGAAAGCTAGATAAATCCACATATTTCACAACTCTGCCCTCCAAAATCTGTTACTGCTTAGTAATGACTATTGTTGTCTTATGGCGATCAGTGATCATCTCAGTCACATGAGCTGTTCAAGCAATTGTGACATATAAAGCCTTACCACTTTTATAGCTGATCACAACTGATTTGAAATAAGAGAATAAAACATGTTTTGTTATTAAAGTAACAATATTTTTGTGTCAGAAAATGTAGGTTAGATTAAAATAGTGCAGTTTTGAGTAGATTTCATGAGTTTGAAAACTCAGAAATGTAAAGAAATCATCATTCCACAACAGCAAACTATGTACTGTTCTAGCTACAGTGTGATTAAAATTTATTAGTTTCTATTGCTTTCTCCATTAAAAAAAAAAATGCTGGGTGTTTTGGGTTGGCAGAAAGCAAAAGTAACAATGAAAATGAATTTGTATTTCTTTCGCTATATAGAAATAGGTTACTCTTGGATAATAAGGAACATTACATCAATAAGGCAAACAATATATACATAATTATTAAGATTGGCATTGTTATGTAGCTAAATACAGTACTGCAAAATTGTAGCTATTTACCTTCCAAGCTGCTGCAATTGTGCTTGCTAGCAAAACAGACTATTCTCCAGAAATGTATTTTTGTATCACATGGAGGAAGAGAATAGATATATAAATTTATAAATGCATATAAATGGGTATATAACATTTCTTTCACTACCTAAAGGAAATACCATGGTGTAAGAAAACTACATGTGGTACCTAAAACCTATATGTAAGACTTATGAAAAGCCTTACTTTCCTCTCCAAATAACTCTAATAACTTCAACTTCAGCTATTTATAGTATAAAACACAGCCAATTTACTAGTAGTATTACAGTGGCATAGAAATATTGAATTTCACTTTGTTATTTGAATGTATTGTTTTTCACAACATTCTCATCTGTTTTGAATATATGGTGTAGGCCAAAATGGAAAGTTTGTAAGTGGTCATGACAAAGTTGTGCCTGATTTTATCAGCAGTAGGTTCAGGGCAGTCCTTCATTAGGCATACACGCTCAAGCATACTCAAGTCATACATTCATTTTTTAAACATATGTTGTTGCAATGTTTGGTTTGCTTTTAAATCATATTTATATAATTTCATTTTTTCCCATCCATCTCCTGTATGTTTGATTATGCTGTCACATTAAAAGCTCATCTCCTTGTCTATTGTCTAGAGTGAGCAATTTGAATTTTTAGTGGTATTTTGATATCTTTCTTTACCTATGGCCAAACATAACCTTTTGCTCTAGTAGGTGTTTATGCCCCTTTGATTTCTCTCAGCATTTTGTGGTAATGAGGACACTTGGAACTGCAGGCTAGTAGCACTATTATATTGACATAACATTAATTATTTTATTCCATCCAGAATCTCCATCCATGCAGATTCCACTCCTATGCTCATCCTTTCAATATGAGATTATTATTTCTGTAATCTTCATAACATTTTAGCTGTAATGATCACCATAAGTAAACTTGCAAATCTCCGCAGTGCAGCTCAAAGCCATGAATTGCTCCTCTGGTTTCTTACATTACAAGGAATGTGATACCATCATTTGTCTTTTGGTAATTTCACTTCTCTATGTGTAATATTAGAATTCACTACCCATTACTGTGTTTTTAAGTCTGAAATTCTTTAATTATCATTTTTTAAAAGTGAGTAGATTTAAGTATTAATCAAGAATACTTCCTCTCTTACATTGTCTTAGTATCATCTATGTAAATGAAACTTTAAATATGTTAAGAGTCTTATTCAGCACAAGAATTAAAAGATTCAGTGATTTTGCAATAATTTAGCAGATGCCATCAAGAATTGGAACTAGAACGAACCTCTCAGGAGAGGAAAATGTATGAAGTAGAAGTAAATTGACTCTAGTTTGCAAATAATCATTGGTAAGGCTGCTGAAAAATTAAGCAACTATTGTTTTGGAGGATAAATCTATTTCTGTCATGCTGCATGCAAAATAATGAAAGTATCTGGTTTATTACACACATTCTTTCTTCAACAATTGATTTCAAATATTGATTTAACAGACAATGTCTTAGAAAAAGAATTAGGAGACAGAGCAGAGCCAGATTACGGTAAGAAATTTTGAAACATTTAATTGAATCGCAACAATAAATGTGTAACAATAAGGATAACTTACAGGAACCTGCAAAATTACTTAAGTTTATCAGGTATAGGCTAGTACTGGAACATATGAAAAATATATCTTGGACACTAATAGTGAATATGGCTATCATTCATATACTTCTGGTCATAATTCCTGTTCCAGATGAGATCCCAATTTTGCAACAAAATCCTATTTACAGATTTACTTCTATCAGTTTAATCCTGAAAAAGTTCATTTTTCTAACATAAATTAAAATGTAATTATGGTTAAATTTTTAAACAGTGTAACAGCTCTATTTTGTGCATTGATTTCCTAAGAGGTCTGATATCCTTTTTAGGAATTTTTCCAACGGTGCCAGCAGGAAATCCATACGACACAAACAAACCAGAAGATCAGTATCATGTCATAGCTACTGAAACAGGTAATAAGAATGTAATGGTATACTAAAAACATTAACAGTGGACTCATTTAAATTATTAATAATTTTCATTATTGTCAGTGAGAAGGAGCAATCTATTGCCTCAGGAGATGCCCTGAAGAATACTTTGAATAACAGCTCAAGACTTCTACTTTGTCCTGTTTGTAGCTCTGGAAATAAAATATTTCCACGTATCCCCAAATTATGATCCAAACTTGTAGTTCAGCAGCCCTTAAAATCTGCAGTGATGCTGTGACCCCAGTGATCTCTATCAAGATACAAGATTTCACCAGCGTTCATCCAGCTGTGGAGCATCTCCTTCTAGAGCTATGACAGCTTTGGTTCTTTGTTTCCTATTCTCTTCTCCTACAATTAACACATGGTACATATCTTTTATACCTGATACCCAGGGATCACAAAGAAGGCACTGAGGAATCTTTCCTAATAGATAGGGCAGAGTTCTCACTTATCTTTAGAATAAGCCCTGTGTCATGCATCTCCCAAGAACCTCATGTTTTAAGGAATGGTAAAAGCTGAGTGGGAGCTTGCTGTAATGCTCTTGGATGCTCACTTAGCAAATCATGTCTTGAACAGAGTCCTGCTGTTCTTGAAGGGTTGTAGCATGGTCTTAATTCAAGGAACTGCACATCTCTGGGGGGCAGCTCAGGTTCTTACATGATACAGTGTGGTATTATGGAAAGTTGGCACTCCCTTTCTGCACTTACTGGCTGGATTTGAGCCAGTTTCCTAAATGACTGTTTGCACCTCCAGGGGAATGGACATATTGATTAACTCTATTTTGAAAATGATACTAGTATCTTTTACAAACTGTACAAAGACTAATACAAATAAAGAAACCTAGCCTGAACATTCACATTTATTCTTGCACGTACAAATATTTTCAGAAGAGCACAATGGATAAGAAAGTCTCCACAGTATGTACCTTAGGTGTATACTGTTATAAAACATTGTTATATAGTTACCGAGAAACATACACTTCCTGGAAGCTGTAAGCCCCATGCTATTCTAGGCAGATAACAGAGTCACAGATTGTAGCATTTCCCACTCCTTTTGCTCAGGGATCTGCAGAGAAGCACTTCTAGCTTTTATCTGTCTTCATGTTAGCTGAGAACATTTTATGTATGTCTTTCAAGGGGAATGGGGAGAAAGTAGGGGTTGTTTCTTTAGTAGTCCTGTGCAGTTGGAATCCAATATATAAGAGTAACTAACTCAAAAGGTTATATGTATTGTAGAAATAATAGACTAGAAATGTACTCTTTTAAATATACTTGAATTTTCAATCACAGGATTGGAAATCTTGCACTGACACACAATGGAAATGTCAAAATTTAAAACTTTAAGGTATGTTTTACATTTCACTGAGGAAACTATTTTATTATTGATTTTATTGAGTCATCTTTTCCTAGCTTTTCCTATAGAAGGAATGCATAAATATTCTTCTATGTAAGATAATGTTTTTCTGATAGTTTATTCCACACTTTTACTCATATGGTCAAAAGTATTTCAACATGAGAGGCATTAATGAGAAATTTTTGTCTTGTAGGTATAATTCCAAATCTAATTTATGTCGTAATACCCACTATACCACTACTACTGTTAATACTGGTGGCTTTTGGGACTTGCTGTTTCCAGATGCTTCATAAAAGGTAAAATACGCTAATTGAAACTGGTCTGACAGTGCAGAATTCATGTTTCCATTGGCAAGCTATTCATACTGAAGGATTGCTTACATCTACCTCGAAGTATGCAAATAAGCACCTTATCTATTAAAATCCAAGTAGTTTATAGCTGCTAGAGCTGAACATTCACCTTCAGACTTTTCCAGAATAAGCTGAAATAATTCCAGGTCTCTCTAAGTATATTGCCCCTATGACTTCACTTGTTTTGAAGAAGATATCTTTGCTGACCATTTGATCTGCTGAGTTCCTGTCAGCAGTTTTACTTCACATTTTCCATCATGATTTACTTCCTATGTAACTTCTGGGCTTCAGGGAGTAATAGTAGGATCCTCAGTGATATAGGGCAGAGTCAAGGACTCACCTCGCTTTCTGACCAAAATGGTAGTTTGTTCTGAGAGGGACCAGGAGCTGCTTCAGTGCACATCTCACGAGAGCAAGATGAAACACTGGTGCAGGCAGATTGAAAACAAACAAACAAAAAAACTTGTTTTGAGCCACATGCCAGTGCAACTTCTTTGTACATCATTTATCTGTCAAAGAAGATAAAATGAAGGGATATGCATTGATAGAGATGGTGTCAAACAGCTGTTTTAATATGTAAATAGGAAATATTTCAGCCAATGGAAAAGGATATGTTTTGATTCACACTTTAAATACTTTTTGCCATTTCTTCTTTCTCAAAATGTGGTATGCCAATATATGAAAATATGCGAGTAATTTTTTTCTTAGCTAATCTTTCTGAAACTTTCAAGGACTTTTTTCATTCTGCATTATTTTCACAGAGTGTTCTCAAGTTAATGTAGTCTAGAAAAGTTTAAACTGAAGTATTTCAGACAGGACAAGGGGAAATGGTTTTAAACTGGAAGAGGGTAGATTTGAAGAGGGTAGATAGACTACATATCAGGAAGTAATTTTTTACTGTGAAGGTGGTAAGACACTGCAACAGGTTGCCCAGAGAGGTTCTGAATGCCCCCTGCCTGGAAGCATTCAAGGCCAGGCTGGATGGAACTTTTAGCAACCTCGTCTGGAGGGAGGTGTCCTTTCCTATAGCAGGGAGGTTGGAACTAGATGATCTTAAGGGTCCCTTTCAACCTAAACCATTCTATGATTCTACTTTTTAGTGGATAAAAATTATTTTGGTAAAATAATAGGAAGAGCAGAGAACAGAATCACAGGCTCTGTTATCCCTCTTGAAGTGCAGCAATATGGATAAATTTGACATCACAGTTGTAAGAAATAAAAAAAAAAAAAAAATTCCTCCTTACTTTTTATTTATTTCTTTCTACTTCTCATTTAGTACTTCCTACAAATACCTTATTTCAAGTGAGAAAATACTCCAAATGTAAAAGTCTGCTCAAATCTGTATTCATGTATACCAGTGATCACAGTGATCCTTAGTAATATGTCTTCTTGAGAGAAGTGAACATATAGAAAAAGTACAAGCTCTGCAATATAAAATAGATTATTACTAAAAATAAAATAGAAAACAACTCAAAGGCAAAAGTGTAAAAAAAGTGATCAAAAAAAGAACTTTGTGCATAACAGTAGGAATTATACAGACAATTTAAATCTGGAACATGTTACAGTGGACCTGAATTGCTTGCTAAATGCAATAAATAAGCATGTTCACATCTTTTCCAGCAGCAATTTTTCCCTTTAAGATTAAGAAAAAAAGGGTTGTGGAAGCTGAAGCTCTCAAATAGCCCTAGGAGGACAGTGAGAGATTTGTGGCCCACTGAAATCAATAGATTGTAGTGTTGACTTCAGTGGGCTTTAATCAGGCCTTTGATGCTATAGAAGTTCATCCAGAACTAATAAATCTGCTTTCAAGAATTAAAAATCACATGACAAAGATACAGGAAATCCAGCTTGAAAAATAAACAAATTTTTTTTCCAGATGGGCTTGCACCAAACTTTTTAAGGACAATAAATTTTTTTTTTCTTTTTTTTCATTAAAACACATCTAAATCAGAAGCAAATTTTTTAGTATCACCAGAAATGAAGCATTTTGGTTTGTGTCAGTTGAAACAAGCCTTTAAAAAAAAAGTTTCTTTGTTTATTTTCTTTTTTTTCCCCCCATATATGACTTACCTTGCAAATCATTTTGGTTCATCAAAAATACACAGCAAAAGAAAATCAAAGAAAGAGTCAACCACTTAAACTAATCAGCTGGACAGTGTGGAGTGTGAGGAAAGGGACACTATCCTGCTGGGAAAGGAGGGATCCCCAACTTACCAAATGAACTTGACTTCTCATTCTTTTTTAGGCTTCCACAACATGGTGATCTTTCCTCTGAAAGCCACAATCCATGGCCAACCAGGACATGCCTAGCTTGAAAGGTCATGACTAATTTTGCCTGGTGTTGGGCTCTTAAAGGGTAGTAATAAAGGCAAAGCAAAACATCTTCCCTGTAGCCAGCAGAAATGATCAGCTTGTTCATGCTTAGATACTCTCCCTTTCATTTCTTCCAGGGAAGCAAGGAGAAACTGCTTCAAAGACCCATCTCCATTATCATCTGAATGCCTTGCAGAAAGTTTAAATTCCAACCTGGTATATTTCTCAGTTTCTACAATTGCATTTGATGATCAAAGCAGCAATGTGCTATTTGTTGCACCTTCTGTACTAAAACCTGTTTCTTGAAATAGATGTGTAGCTTCTGTAAAACAATTTAGGTTAACTGAAGATTAGCTTGTATCTGGCCCAAGGTATTTAGAAATTCTTCCTGCTGTGTAGCAAAGATGCTATTCAAAGCATTTCATCAGAAATTTACAAAATATGCTTAATTTTGCTCTATTAATCTGAAAATCAGTAGTGAATCAGTTTCTTAAAGAAAGAAGAATTTAAACTAATTGATTCATTGCAGTTGCTTTGTTTATAGCACTGTGGCCTGATCTAAAGTCCACTGAATCATAGGAGGTTTTTCAATTACTCCAATGGGCTCAGGTACATAATGCATTACTTGTAGGGCTTCAGAGGTAAGTCTGGAGGGACTGAAAACTACTATCCCATTCAGCTCCCTGAAAGTGCATTTTAAATCATTCCAGACTTGCTTTTTTTACACACCAGTAATAACTAAGTAAAACTGAATGTATAGTACTGATGGGATCTTGACTCTCAGGCTTCCAACATACAGAATTACATGGTGCCACAAAGGCCACTTTTCCTTTCAATAAATCAGACAGTATATCAGTATGAAATATTGTGGCCAGAGACTAAAATATTTTGGTCACAATGCAGCTCAGTGGCTCATGTCATTCTGTTCTTTTCAGTAGACTGCCGTTACTTGACATCTAAATGAGGAATGATGGTGCACTGTGGCAGTCATACCTGAGAAGATACTAGCCATGTGGAAAAACTGCCTTCAACCTACAGGGTACCTCAGGGTTCCCTCTGAGTATTAGTGTGACTGGTTTTGCAGTGTTCCAGAGCAAGTACTTTCAGATGAGTTTTATATTTTTACTGAAACAACCTACAGAACAAAACCAAGCTCACAAAAACTACTGTCAATGGCACTGAATGAAAACTAGGCCTCAGGAAGCTTTCTACCGGACATTCATTCTAAGAGTCTGATTCATATCCCATTGCTTCATTAGAAGTTAGGTCAAGCCCTGAAGGGAAGAGGCTTTGTGGCTAATCTGGCACCTATTAATGTATCGTGATCACAGGAGTGCAGCCTCCACATGCGCATGTCAGGGTTGTGGTAGCCCTTTTGGTTGGGTGGGCTGGGCCGTGAGCACATGAACGTAGGCTTTGGGGACGTGTATGCTCCTGTCCCTTTTGCATCCTCCTATTCAAGGGAATTGCATTGGTAAAACAATGTCCACACATTCACTCACACCTGTTCATGGAGCACAGTCATCTTCTGAGAGGTTTCAGTCTCTGGACAGAGATGGAAAAGACTATGCTGTATGAGTACGTGTGAATGAATGTGAACTGAAAAATGAAAAATAAATACTGTCCAAGTCATGTCACTGCATGAAAGGAGCTCTCCTAAACGGGGTGGTCCTGTAACATTGGCAACAGTTGCTTACCTTGACCCACCACTGTGGCACTAATTTTGGTGCAACATGGGCATGGCTCCTGTGTGGAGGGGACATCTATGCTAACAAAGACGGCCTTCAAATAGGGGCTGAAATATCTGGGTCTGATCACAAATCTGAATCAGGACTGTAAAGGTATATGTGCACTGAGAATAGTTTCTATTTTTATTTTTCAGTAAAGGAAGAACAAAAACGAGTCCGAACCAGTCTACACTTTGGATTTCAAAGACCCCTAGGAAGGACAGTAGCATGGAGGTATAATGATTTACTGACTGAAAGCAAAGCAAAAATAACATTTTGCAGTTGGGCTGTATTATAATGTCGTCTGAGAACATTAGCTTGGAATGGCTTGAAAATGCAACGGATCTACAAGAATGAACTGTAAGCTCCCCCTTGAGGCAAATGTTCAGATCATTTTTATATAATGTTTGATTATTAATTCAGTAACAAAATATGCCATGCTAAATAAAGGGTATGTGTTTATTTTGCTAAGAGATGTAAGTCAGCTAGTTGTGAGTAATGAATTGAAAATGCATTTGAAATTTTTATGAGGACATATCTACAATGTATATCAATTTTAAGATAGATTGTTTGTAGTTAAACAAAACCTTCTTGTTTTCTTTAATCTCCTATGCATTGTAACCTAGTTGATGTACTGTACATGAAACTGACAATTTTGCAGTGTAACAATTATTTATCTTTGCATAAATGTTTGATACAAAATATTTGTTTAGTATTTATTTGCACACTTATGACAGTTTTTGATCCTCAGGCACAAATTACTTTGGTATACATAAATTATGCTTGAAGGCAGAGACTTCTGCCATATTGCCATATTCATCAGCTATGACAAAATTCAAGAATTCAAAAGTGGTTTGATCTTATAGTGAATCCACTTTATCAGGGGGTGACCACCATATCTTCTTGATGTATTGGTCCAAGGTCAACATAAATCACTTGGCAAATGATAAAACAATAATGAAGTACCTTTGAATACGGTTCTTTTTACAGTGGTTAAGCAAAATATTTTTAACTTTTTCTGAGAGAAAATACAAATTTCAGTAACCCAATGGGCAAGAGTTTAAGAATAGAATTAGTTGTTTCAGTAAATCTATGTAAAGAAGACTTTAAAGATTATTTAAATATGGTTAATAGTTTTTTAGAAATAATGGATCAAAAGGAAGACAAATGGATTTTCTTGGAAACAGCACTAAGAGATTGATCCCAGCTTTAATGAGGCTTAGCTAGAAGAGTGTTAATTATGTTAATTGGTAGATCTAGAGGTAACCCTGATGCATTTAAAGTCCTTTATAAAAAAAATATTACTAACATCATTAATGTTCATTCTCTTTGATGCCTTAAGAGCTTTCTGTGCTATTAGGATGGCGTCTCAGAGCGCTAGCAAAAGCACTCTAGCTGATTTGTTGGTGACAGTCTGGTGCTGTTTAAGAAAGGCTAACTGGTTTTGCTGCAGTTTGCAGCAAGAGTTCAAAAGCACAAGTTCAAGTTTGTCAGGCTTTCCATTAATAGAAATGCAGAATTACTGCTGGGTGAAAGCTGGGGGAAGCTGGATAGAAGTGAAAGCATATTACAGTTTGTGAAGCCTGCACTGTGCTTGCTGATGTTGACTATAGCTTCTGAAATTCATGGACAAAGGTGTATCAATTTTTCTGAGTAAAGAAAAAAAAATATTTAAGTTCCAAAGCACTAATACTAGTTGTGCAATGCTATCACTACAACTCTTTTGGAGGCATCTTAAAGTTGAAGTTATGCCATGTTTTTACTTCCTCTTTGAAGAAGCTGCCTCCTGTAGTTCAGGTCAAGCATTACCATTCCTTCTTGCACTATTCTGTAAATTTTCGGTTAACCACAACTTTCTTTGCTCAACCCCTTACCTCAGCTTCCTTTATAATGATTAAAAATAAAACAAAAATACTACGGTCCTGCATGATCATCAAGACCAGGGTTGTTTTTCAGTTCATGACCTAAATGATGCTTAACTCACCTGAAGGCAAGAGCTTCATCTTCCTTGGGAATGTTTGGGGTAATCAGAACTTGATCTTTATGGATTAACTCCTTCAAGAAAATAGGGGAGGAAAGAGTGATGTTTAACCTAAAACTACAGGGCTGCCATTTCTTCATACTTTGTACTTCCAAATGACACTTGGCAGTCAATATTGTGATTGGTGCAGCAGAAGTGACAGGAGTCATTTCCATGCTTCAGTCAAGAGAATGCAAACACCTTCAGATGTCTTTCCAAAAGGGCGAAGGTGACTGCTGGGCATTTATCAGTGTGGGCCAATCTTAAATTTTGTGACGGAGGAATAGAAAATGACATGCTATGGTTTAATTATAATGAACTTAGATTTCACATATCAAAAAGAAATACTGATTATTGGACAAAATATTTCTATATCATTTCACCAGCCTAACAGGAAAGAATCTGTTTCCTTGCTTGTGTTTTGTTTGCCTAGTACTGAGTTCCTAGATACTAGGTAAAATCAAAACAGTCTTAGAGTCCTCTGTAAAAGAGAGTGCAGACAATAAACTGTGCAGTCTTACATCAGTTAGTTCCACCCTTAAGGCATGCTCAACCAATAAATACCATATGTATACAAATTCTTTCATATTTATTTCCATAGTTTTGCATTCCAAAGGGTGTAATAGTAAGAGAGGAAAGGAGAAAAAAAAAAAGCGTTTCACACTTGCAGATAGAACACGTATAACTTTATGCAAATTTCCTTTGGATTTTTGGTGGGCTTAGATAATCCAGGAAAGCAGATTTTTATGTGATATAGCACATTAGTGAAAACAGATTTGCTATTTAAAAAAACCCCACAAACAGCAACAAACACAAAAAAAGCTAAAACCAACCCTGCTTTGTCCTTCATATTCGCATTATATTCTACAAGCTGGTGGAGGGAGCAATTTCAGGTGACAGATTTCATCAACTAGAGCCACTTCAAAGCAGCTTGTCATCTATATACAGCTATGGGTCAGCTCATGCTGACCACATTCTTGCTACTTCCCTTAATCTCACAAATTGCCGCAGGAGGTGTGAGGCAAGGAATTGATGAAGAAGAGTAAAGATATAACTAGGCCTTAAATGGACATCATGACTTTAATTTGGAATTCTAAAAAATATTTTACTTCCTGCCTTCATTCCCCATTTCCCTCAAGAAATGTAATTTTTCTTTTTTCCATAGCGATTCTGGCCTTTTGCAAGCAAATAGCACTGCAGATAGAAAGCTCTTGTTGCTTCCTTCAGTCCTTTAATCTTTTCAGGTGTGAGTGTAAATCAGCATCAAGTTTCTGTACCCTATTTTAAAATATCTCAGACCTTTAACTCAAATAAAAAATTATCCATGCTGCCCACGTGTATTAATGTATTAATGGCTGATTTCACCAAAGGCTAATATGAGACAGGCATGCTAAAGTAATGGATGCTGAATGAAGGCTACAGTGTGCTTGGCAAAGGTTATCCTAATATAAGTTGAAATAAAATATTTATTTTTAATTATACTATCTAGTGTATGTTACATATATGCTTCTGTATAGAAGTTTATAATGGGAAATTTTTGAGTCCAGTGTGATAGTTTATTAATGTATATCTCAAAATCTATGCTTTGCATTTTGGGAAGCAAAAAATACACATAAATGAAAGAATATTACTGTATTTCTGGGAAGCAGATCTTCTAGTAACTGGATCTGCTTTGATTTGGCTTTTGTATTTCATTAGCAGAATGAAATGCCATTTACAACAGTGATGTATTGTAAATATTACAGAATTCATGTCACATTTTAATTAAGTATTTTAATGTAATTGCTTCATCCACATCAATTTATACTTGATAGCAGAATGCACTTTATTTTCATTGGCTTTTTTCCAATGAAGGAGACGAATAGGAGAAAAAAGACTACTACTGAAGATAAGGTTAGCAGCTCTGAAATGTTAATCAAATAGTTTAGAAACAAATTCACAATAAAATGAAATATCTTTAGTTAACTTGCAACAATGGCACTGTGTAGTTTGTATGAAAGAGTCTAAAATACTTTTTGTCTGCTCTCTGGCTTAATTACATCTGTCTGACTTATGGACACAGATATATTGATGGAACTGCACATTTTGATCTGGACTAATTCCTTAACATTTATGATGACCAAAGGACATTTTTTCTCAATGACCATCAATCTGTGTTTGTAAGCTCACCTTGTATTCTGAGCACTTCATATCTGCATTTAGCATTGTAAATAACAAGTATGGAAGCTCCTTACAAAAATCACTCATCTATGAGTACACGTGTAGATACATATGTGCAGTAAATTAAAATGCATTTTGTGTTTTCATGTATACTGTAGAATGAAAAAAACATTAAATTACTATACAATCTATAAGCAGAAATAAAGGACATTTATCATATTGCACTAACATTAAAACACCATTGAATTTAAGGTATTTCAATAAGAATTATTTTAATAGAATTGCTTTTCTTTTGCTTGTTTTTCCATATTTTATACCATTTGGACTGCTGTTAATGGGAATCAGGATACAGTCTATACAAAACACAAAATCATTATTAAAAGCCCCCAGTACAGAGAAAGCGTAAAATATCAAATGAACCCTATTACATTTTATTCACCATGAATGACCGATCCTCATTATTGTCAGTTGTTGTTAAAACATATATATGAGGGAAAATGTAGTATTGCATGTTTCTACAAATGTCCATGCAAGCATATATCTATAATTATTTGAAAATTGCCAGAAGATTTGTATGAAAGAAAAACTGAAAAGCAAACAAATTACACCAGAGATAATTTTTATGTTCCATTCAGTTTGCTTGTTATAAAGCAGCATGATACATGATCAACCATTATTCACAATCTACAAACTTCATTTTAGAGCTTTTTGTAACAGGCAAGATAGAAGAACTCTCATAAGCCCAGTTTCAACAGATAACATATACCTTCATTTTGATATGTGGCAATTACTGAGAAGAATTGACTGTGCATTGAAATGAAAATGCACATTGGGAAATGTACTGTAAAATCATAAAAATAGTTCACATTTATCCTGAAATTAACAATTTTTCTGACAATTTATCCCCAGATTAACAATTTAGACCATTTTTCAAAAAGCATCTGTGGTTTGAAAAATCCTTCCTCCCTCACTACACATTTAATATAGCAATGTTCAAATAGACTGTTTTCCCATACCATGGACTGATGGCAGATTTACCTCTTATATAAAGCAAATAGTAAATTGCTAAAACTATTAACAAAAGCATAGAATCTATCTCATTTGAAATATTCCTCTTAATTGATAAAGAAGGGAATTTTTAGTTGTTAATGTTTTGCTTTCCTAAATTTGAAACCAGACTGCACTTTGAATCATATTTTTTTAAGATTCCCTAATTATGAGTTTTGAATGCCAGTCTGTACTGTATTATTCTGCAATGGCTTAATTGCAGTCTTTAACTTCTATTTCTGTTGTTAAGGAAAATCAAGGTAGTAGATGATTTTTTGGATCCAGTCCACAAACATAGCAACCCGAACGTACACTCCTGGTCGTTGGGCAAGTGCACACTCATAGCCAAATGATGTCACACCTACCAAAACCCATTGGTTACCATCTTCAGACATCAGAGGGCCTCCTGAATCTCCCTGCAATATGCAATTCAAAAGTTAAAAGTGTACAATTGTTAAGCCTGGAGCAGAGCTCGTTTATGATATTTTTTCTAATTGATCTTTAATCATAAAAATTGCATCTTATCTTTTGGACATCAGAAACATAATCAATGTGGATTCTTCTATATAGAAAAAGCTTGAAATAATCAATGTTTACTTTCTTTTTCTTTCAAAACTGCAATTTTAAGCTCTCATCAGTCTTCCAGATACAGGACTAAGTTTCAAAGGATTATTATATGACGAATGCTCTGAAAGTAATGCCTGCTATTTTATTATATTGGTCCAGGTTGACATCAGAAACAGATGTGGGTGATATGGCAATAAAGGCTGGACATTCCCATCAGTATTCTGTTACATTCTGTTGCATGTGACAGATGTCAGCAGAAGAACATTCTGACAAAATGGTGTCTAACTTGGAAATGTGGATGAAGCAAAGGAGTGTCACTGAGTTATTCCATGTGGAAAAAATGTCACCCACTGATATTCACTGATGGTTGCTGAGCATTTATGGAGACCAAACAGGAGTATTAGTACAGTGAAAGTTGGACTGTGTGAGCAACATATTCCTATCAATGACACTGTCATAGCTGTTGTGAAAAAGTGGGCCACCTCTGCTAATGCAGATTTTTATGAGCATGGTGTGCAGAGTCTTGTTAATCCCTGGCAAAAATGTAGAGCAGATGGTGGTGACTGTGTTGAAAACAGTGTTTTGTAGCTGAAAATTTGCTCTATCAAATAGTTTAACTGTGGCTATTGTATTTTCTATGGAAATATATAGGAGGCATTACTTTCAGAGTACCCTAAGTACATTTAACCCTTCACTTTTCTCAATGCCTGCGTAAATGTGTAGCATTATTTTTTAGCTGAATCTATTTAGCTAAGATGCAGCTCTATTTTCTGTCCCTCCAGAATTTTGACAATTTAAAATTTAGAGGAAATAAGATTGCCAGAAGAGGAGGTGAGTTTTTCTGCCACCTCCTTCTCAATAATATAGCAGATACAGAATTGCAGTAGTCTGCAGGCATGTCCAATGTGGTCCGTGGGCTGCACATGGTCTGGCACAGCTTGTAATGTGGCAGATTCTTCTGCCATGCCATCATGGCAGTGCTTCTCCCTACCGAGTGGCCCAACCCAGCCCTGCCACCCAGGGAGGGCACAGCGCAGTGCTGACAAATAGTAGGGCACTATACTTAATTAGCAAGGAGATCAAGTTAGCTTTCAAAGATTAGAATTTGAAAAGACATTACAGGCAACAATGTGCTGCCAAATTCTGTGTATATTAAGGAATGCTTCATAAAGACTCAGTAGTGAAACTGAAAAAAGGTCTGTCATCTCAACAACACATTTAAAAAAACCTGAAAGCTCAAATGCATTCTGTTATAAAAGCTAGCAAATCTGATTGTAAAAAAATCGAAAGCTTTTATTGATGGTGAATTTATTAAGCAATGTATGGAATGCATGGCTGATATAATGTGTCCTGATAAAAAAAGATATTTTTCTAAAATCAGTTTATGTCAGTATTATCAGTTTATCAGACATAGTCAGGCAATCTGAAGAAACATAAATATCTATTGAACAAAATTTGGAGAGTAAAGCTGCTAATTTCCTTTTTTTCTTTTTTCCTTTTTTTTTTTTTTTTGGCAATAGATGAAAGTAGTGCTGGTACAGATATGGCTCAAATTGTGATTTTCATTAGAGATACTGATAGTAAATATGATGTCACTGAAGCAATTGCTTCTTTGGTGTCACTGAAAGACACAACTAAATCTCTTTCTTTGTGTGAAGCAGTAAAAAAACACGTTAAAGCAATTTTCTTTAACCTTTGTCAACATATCTGGTATATCTACTGATGGTGCCCCAGTAATGGTTGGTAAAAAAGATGAACTTATAAAATTATTAGAAGATCATGCAGTTGCCACTGGCAACTCACATTTGATGAAATATCACTGCATTGGACATCACAAAAATTTTATGTGTGAAAGCTTTACAAATGGACAGTCTTGTGCAAATCATCATCAAAGCTGTGAATTTCATAAAGTCCAAGGGATGGAATAATCGCTAATTCTAGGAATTCTTTGGAAGTATGGATGTTGACTTATGGGTCATCACTTATTTTTCTAAAGGAAGGTGGCTAAGTTCGGGTAAAATACTAAAAAGACTTCATGTTTTGCAAAGTGAAGTCAAGTCCTTCATGGAATCAGAAGGAAAAATTATGCCAGAACATGAAGACTAAAAATGGCTCACAGATTCAGCATTTTTGGTGAATTTCAGTGCTCATTTAAATGAGTCAAACATGTGTCTTCAAGATGCAAATCAACATAACCGTGCTATATTTCAAACCATAATAGCATTTGAAATGAAACTTATGGCAAGCTCAAGTTATGGCAAATTATTTCATGCATTTTGATACACTGGCTAAACACAGTCCTGTGAATAGTGAAAAACATGTGGATGTGCTTTCCTTTTTGAGAGAGATTTAGGAATAGGTTTCCAGATTTCCACAAAAATGATGATTTTTTTTTTTTTTTTTGTATATTTGTGATTCCATTTTAAGTTTACAAAAATACATTACCTACAAATTTTCAAATGAAATATACAGAGTTACAATCAGACCTTCAACTCAAAGTGAAATGTGGTCATGTCTCTTTATCAGACTTTTGTAAGACTTGTTTTATCCAATAAAAATAGCTCTCACTTCACAGTCACACCTTGTTCATGTCATCGCTTTTTGGCAATAAGTACATCTGTGAACAATTATTGTCAAGGATGAAGCACAGGAAGGGTAATATTTCATCAAAAATCTCTGATGAACACCTTGAGAACTCACTTGGAATGCCAGTCACTGCCCTTGAACCAGACTGATGCATTAGTTTCACAAAAAAAAAGGGCAAACATCCTATTAGTTTTATGTTTTATGTTTTTGTAGTGTATTTTAATGTTTTAATAAAAAATACATTAAAAATATGTCTTGTTACTTATTTTTACATTAGCTTTATTATATATTTTATATGCGGCCCATTACATTCCTTTTTGCTCAGGCAAGTCAGAAGGTTGGACACCCATGCAATGGAGTGTGGGAGACCAAATTTGATTCATCAAATCATTTTCCTACAGCCTGAGTAGCTATGAATGTCTTGCTTTGATGAGAAAGAAAACAATGACTATTTTTTATTGTCTGGTTTGAAGCAAGTTAATTCAACTAGTATTACTGTTGTCATCTCACGGCCCTATGACGAGAGCTTTAGGGGAGACTTCTGTGGGAACTCAGTCATTAAAATACTTCTGTCTCTAACTCTAGGGCATCCACAAAAGTCCAAAGGCTGTGACAGCAGCCTAGAGGACAAAACAGTACCAGGACTTGCTTGTTCCTCTTTGCTTATGGTTGAATGGTCATTGATCACAATGCTGGTCACTTGTGCTCTGTATCAACTTATAGTCTACAATTTTTTTTTTCAGTTTGATGGATGAAAAACAAAAAAGAGATGAGGAATCACAGACTTTGAAGGAAAGGCAAATCAAATAGGCTTGCATACACTCTTGCTTGATTGAAGTAGCCAAACTCACTGTGCATGATAAAGATTTAGGGTTGTGATAATAAAGTAAGAGGAGTTATGTGAGGATGCTCCTCATCAGACTTGAGGAGAACCAGTCTCCATGCCATGGACTCCACATTGCTGGAAGAAAGATTAAATGTTGACCAACACCATGCTCTTAAGGAGAAGTGGTACATAATGAGCAGAGCTAGAAAGGACAGAAGTAAGAAACAGCCCCAGGAAGCAGCCTGTAAGAAAAATGCAGAAAGGCAGCTTCTCCAAAGTACTGTGGTGTCCACTTATGAAATGTTTCTAAAGCCTACATATTCTGGAGAAATATATCATTGCTCTACCCCTTTCACTGTGAGAAGCATTTTTGAGATTTTTTATCTATTTGTTATGCATTTCTCTGTACCTTACTTTTTGCTAAAAGTCTTCCTCTTTCCTCAGCAGTAATTATTCAAAGCTCAGTGCATAAAACGTCCAGTCCACATATTTATCTTCTTCCATTGTTGTTTGTGTTGAGATCATACAAAATAGACTTTTATCTTTACAACATGTATGCTGATAAAGAGCTAAATATTGTGCATAAAAATAATATTCATAGACAGTGAACATCCTGGTTTTAATGACTGGAGTATCAAAGAGCACTTTACTCCATAATTAGATGTGCTGTGTGCTAGCAGTGAGAATTAGTCATTTATTCTTACCTGACAAGAATCTACTCCTCCCATGTCATAGCCTGCACAGATCATATTCTCAGTAATAGTATATTCTGGCAACCATTCCTGGCATTTTTCATTTAAAATGAGAGGGACCTCTGCTTCTTGCAATATATTTGAAGTGGGACCTGATGAAAATACAGAGTACATTTACGTGCTGCATTAAATATGTATAACACATTCAGAACACTGATAGCTTTGTTCTTGTTCCAACATGTGGGCACGTTACTGAACAGCAGGAAGCCCTGCCAGACTACTGTATTATTCAGGTTTATGCCCCTGTAACACAATCACTGATTAAATGGTGCTCATTAACTGAATCCTGTCTTTCATTTGCGTAATGGGACTGAATTTGGTTGTAATTAAATGAAAGTTACTAAAATCAATGACTATGAACTTACTGTAGAGAGATCTAAGAGCTTATTAAAGGCTTAGAAGCTTGGATTTTCCAGTGTTTCCACACTATTCATTGTGTATCTTTGATTGCATATATCTAGTTTTTACAAGCATTTCTATTACTAGTTCTTACTTAAAACTTTAAATACAATTCTACTCAGAAAATATGGATACAAATATGTACAAGCAACTATGGAAATGAAACTGCATGTTTATTATTTTACAGAGACTCCAAATTTGGAGCATGTGATATACAAATAGAATGTACGTTTTACACTATACTCAGTATTCTTGGTTTCTGGGGAAAATCATTTGCATGCTGTCAGAAATCTTTCTTCTTTCTGATCCCTTCATCTCCCCAGTTATCTGGAAATAAGATGTTCATTTTGTGTAAATTGAGAAAAGTACTCCTCATAACTCCTAAGGAGATGCAATAAGTTCTTTTATTAATTTAATGATTGGAGATGATATATATTTTTTCTAATAAGTATGTTGTAACTTTATTACTTTAGAGAAGAAATGGTGAGGGAGTGGAATAGTACAAAACCTTTTTGTAGAGGAGCACATCTCTAACCTGTTTGACCTTAGCAGCCCCTGTGGAATCAGGAGCAAATTTTCCCAGCGTAATTTACCCACCTTCATATCTTATAGCACCCCAGCCAGCAATGGAACAGTTAATTCCTGGTAGAAACTGTTGATTTTTTTGCGGTAAGCAGATAGGTTGTATGTAATCTGTGAATGCAAAGTAAGCAATCAATTTCAATCTCTTTTCTTTATTCTTTATTTATATATGTTTTTTTTTTTTTTTTTTTTTTTTTTTTTTTTTTTTTTTTTTTTTTTTATGAAGTCACAAAAGAAAGTATTCATTAATTCAAATTCATTTTGGGGACACAATAACCAGGAAGTAGTGGATGAACTCAAGAATAATGAGACTATACAAAATGTACAGCCGTTCCATCACCCCCATATGGTTAGTTATTTAGGGTTTAGAGTAATATATACATTTTGTGGAAAAATACAAACTCACTTACTTACCTGTATATTGAACTTTGTACTGAAGATGCATCAGAGCAATATCACTGTCTTTTGTAAGTTTGTTATAATGAGGATTTATAACTATTTGATCAATGTTTTGAACTACCGTTGAAGTGTCTGTCATATTCGACTGGTCATACAAGCCAAGAACTGCTTTCCATGTAGATGGTTGTAATTGTCTCCTGGAAGTTGCAAGGAATATTCATAATTATGAATGATTAATGAACATTCTGAAAAATATGTTAGATAAAATGCTAATCTTTAACCTCATTATAATAAGTATCATGCTTTCAATTTCCCCTCAATTAATAGGAGAATGTAGTAGATTCCCTTACAATTTTGTGATAGTTACACTATCTTAAGCATCTATACTGTAGAAGTATGTGATTGACTTTTGATGTTAAGCTTACATGCGTTATTTAGAAGAATTAATCATACAGCAGTGCAGTGGAATAAGATACATTAACTAAATCACTATGTCTTTTTTAACATTGGAAATAATACTGCTCACTGCCCACAATGCAATTAGCATTGGTCCTAGTTAGAAAATTATGGAACTATCTAAGGAATAATAGATTACTATGTTGTAGAAAATACTTCAGCTCATTGACTCAGAAAATTGGTCCCTTAGTTTTTTATCTAAGTTGAAAAGAATATGTTCAGACAGCTATGGCATAAATTTACGTGCTTTTTTTTTTCTTTTTTTTTTTTCTGAGCCATCTATGCTGGTTTGAAACTGTTTCTAAGCTAGTGAATGTATGCATTTGCTAGTTTTTTAATCACCCAGTTCATTTTTATTCTAAAATATTATTTCAATCTGCTTGTTGTATGGAATTGGTTTCTGTTTATCTTTTTGACTGACATCTGGAGGCTACCTTGTTCTAAATTAGCATTTCAGTTAAATATTCAGAATTAAGAGCTAAAAATGTAAGCTGTCACTCCAGCAAATTCAAGACAATAAAATGATATCTAAGTGAAAATAGAAAAGTGAAATAGGTGAAAAGGAAGCGCCAATATAAGTGTGGATTTATCATGTGCAAACTAACATGGCTTGATCCCCCTCATTTCAAAGGGTTTGTGTGGAATATACTCCTGTAATGGAATGAGGAGGCATTCTTATATTGGCATAGCCTCCCCAGTATTATTATTTAGCTATTTATAATGAAAAGTCTATAATTTTGAATAACAACGTTTGTCTTTTGCTATTGCAGTTTCTGAGTGTCTTCAGTACTAGTTTCTATTACAGACATTATGGAAGCAAATCTTAGAAAATATTTATATGCATCACTTCTTTGTGGTATAAATAACGCTATCTGGAGGACATTGCAATATTGCCTAATCAATATTTATGAATCGAGGTTCATTCCAATTATGCACAGTAGATCTTGATCGATCTGTGATACTTAACAGGTGGAATGGGCAACACTGAATTTACCTTTCTTAGATACTTAATCCTTTAACCACTACATACCATCCTCTAACCACCAACAGAGATTCCTGTAAGTAATGGAGGCCCCCATTACTTATAGGTAAAGTAAAAATGCTCTGTATTAATACCATATATTTTAAATGTTCATTGTTCAGAAAATGGCTCTTGATTTCCAGACCATGTCTGCTTTAAAATAAGGACTGAGGATTTACTAGTATGTAGCAGAGCCTTTACTTTATGTGATTCAAAACATAGTAATTAAATAGTGAAGTAGTTATTAATTTTTTATATTAGAATCACAAATTATTAATTATTTGATACATTCTTATTCAATCTGCACATAAAACAAGTGTTCACATTCTTTCTTAAAATGAAAAAGACATGGTATGGATGTCATTTGGCTGTCTCAACTAGTCAGCAGGATGCCCTGCAGTCAGTGGAGATGAAGATGCACTTGTGAATCTGTAATAATTTCATTTCAAACATCTAAAAAGTACCTCCTACCAGTGATTTCAATATGATCCTTTGAAAGTGTGATTTGCTCTGTAGAAGACCAACTAATGTCTCAAGATTATACTTCAGCCCAACTTTACTGACACATATCCACCATTTGGATACTTGCATGATGTGGGAGCATCAGAATGCATTACATTATGAGTACAGTGAATGTTACCCATATACACAGTGTGCTGCTGTCACCAGCCATTCCTCATTGACAAGGGAGGCTCCACAAACGGGTCTGGAATTAAAATGAAGTGAGACAATCCAAGGCCAAGCCTCTCTTCTGGCATCACTTCCACCTACAATCCTTGTTCCTTTGTTCTCAATTTCCAGGCGGTTTCCACAAGCTAAAATAAATGCATATATGTATTTTAAATAAATAAATGCAGATTTGTAGAAGAACATGGTATGCTTTATTTGAGTAGTTAAATTCTTGGAAAAATAGTCTTGGTACTACCTGACCTGCTATTCAAAAATATTATTACTGTGGAGAAAAGTTTGCCATTTTATAGCTGAAATCAAGATGCAACTTCATAACTTGGATTTAGATGTGTTATATCCTCAGATCTTAAATTTTTTTTATATATTTTCTTTCAGTATAGACCCGTCTCCAGTGTATACTTAACTCTGAAAACAAGTGAAGATTGTAAATTTTGCTGTGTTTATATCATTACAAGCATAGCTTTTATAGTCCATTTCCTAACCTTTCAATTCAAACTATAAACATTAGGCTTTATGGACTGAACAATCTGATTTCTGTGTGAAACATTCCCAGGGTAAATGTACTTACGTTTAATGTTACACTGCAGATGAATCACCAGGTTGTTTAAACAAAGTTCTCTAGAAGGAAAGTATAATTAAAATCACAAGTATCTGCACACCAAGTAACTCTCTCATATATATAAAGGTACATTAGTTTCATTAGTTTATCTAATATTTAAATCTAGCATTTTGGCCACAATCCTTTGTGCTATAGTAATAGTTTAATTGTAAATAGAAAGCATTATATTGTATCTAATATGAAATGAACATGTTGTTCTTTAATAGAAACGATGTATGCTATGGACATAAAAGTAGATTCCTCTGGTCTTTTAAGGAACGAGTCATCTGTCTATGACAGATTCTAAATAAAACTGTAACTGCATATGGCATTTATTTTACCTTTTGAGAAGTTTTCAATAACTTACCACTAGAGATCAGTGTAACCAAAGAATTTTGAAACGGTTAGTTTGATATCACTGTATCTTTTTTACTAAGATTATAGTGCACAATAAAATATATAGCTGCATATAGAGGGGAAGGAATTATTTAGCGGAGATATAAAGCCAGAGCCTGAAGAGCATGAAACCACAGATCAAAACTACTCAAGCGTTTCTGATACCTAGAGGTTTTAAGATTATCTTCATAGCTTGTAATGAATCTGAACACTTGGGACAGTGTGTGTGCTAGCAATTTAAATTGGATACACAGAAATATATATCAGGAAAAAAAAAAAAAAAAAGTCAGCTAAGGGCTAGGTCACAGTATGCATTTCCATTTCATTTTTTCAAAGAGATAAAAGGATGCATTCTTTAAGCATAATATAGCATTATTCATCCCTCACTATGTTTGCACTAAAATTTGTTGTTTTTTTTTTTTGTAAGAGAAATAATGAGTGACAGCCCAGCAAATGAGAACATGTAACCTTCCCCTCCATTTCTGTCTAATTAAATCTGCATTATGGAGTGTAAGATGGTGAAATATGCTTCCAGCCCTGTATTGTATCATACAAACTAGCCAATCTAATACTCAACTTGTCAGATTTGTCCCTATTTTTATGTTGAAACTGGGGATGATCTCCCACCATCAGTACCTACTAATTGCTTAGTAGAAGGTACTTTATGGGAGTCCACTTTTTTGTCTATTTAGAGTAAATTTCCAGTATGAAAACCATTTCTTTGCCTGCATTTCAATTTACCAGTCCTCAGTCACCTCTTTGTTAGCTCAGGAGAGTCCAAAAGGCAGTAGAGTCACACTACGTGTGCTGAAAACCCACCCTATGTACCTCTGTGAGTGTTATCTGTGAAGGAGCATGCTGGGAAGAAATCTGAAATCTCACTTAGGAATGGCAAAAAAAAAAAAAAAAGCCTGTAGCATCTGCTCATATGTATCTTCAAAGCAGATTTTGGCCCATACAAAGCAATTCTGCCAAGAAATCCATTACCTAATGGCATCAGAGAACAGTTATGCTGTTTCTGTACCAAAGCTTTCAGGTATCTGTGCAACCCGGAATGGAAGGTGGAAAAGTGAACTGCCCAATGATATATAAAATTCAGCAGTAGATATAAAATAAAACCTATTTTAATGGTCCAGACCTCATACAGAATCATGTTAGTCTTCAGATAAACTTAAGCTAGAAATTATTGTATAAATCATAGTCACTGCATTCACAATTTTCCTTAGTATGAGGAAGCAACCTCACTCTACTCACTTTTTTGTAAATATTAGGCTCTGATTAGCTTCTTCGGTGATGTTGGCAAATGGACCATCTCCAGTGAAAAATACAGTTGATGACATATTTGAATTCCTGGAAGGAAAAGACACACACACATATTTTTAGAAATTTATCTTGTTTCATTAGTGGAGGACTGTCTGGGAAACAATGATGTTTGTGGAATTATCTGGAGATGTGTGAGGATTAAAACTTTCACAGATTAAAATGTGACTTGCCTAACGTCATTCACTTTATCCTAAGAACTCCAGTGCTACAATGATATTAAAATACAGAGAAAACAATTATTTTAATGAAAGTAAATTATGAGTTTATCCTCTTTTGTGCCACAATGAATGGTTTGCAATACTGATTCTTAAATATATGGAGACAGATGGTGGTGGTATGGCAGTAAAGACTGAAGCTTCTTGACAGTATCCCATTACATGTTGTTGCCACGTGACAGTTGGCAGCAGAGGCACAGTCTGACAAAATGGTGTCTGACATGGAAGTGTTGGTGATGTGAAGGTGCGTCATTAAATTTCTCTGTGTGGAAAAAATGTCATCCATTGATAGTTGTTGTTGACTCTTGCTGAACCAAACAGTGGATGTGAGCACAGTGAGGTGCTGGGTGGTACATTTCGAAAGTGGTGATAGCAACAGTGGATTGATTCTGCTGGTGCAGATTTTTTATGAGTGCAGCATGCAAGCTCTTGTTCATCGATGGTGAAAATGCACAGCTAATAATGGTGACTGTGCTGAAAGTTAGTATTTTGTAGCTGTGAATTTGCTCTATCAAGTAGTGGAAATAAATAGAAGGTATTATTTTTGCAGCAACCTACTTAAATGCTGAAATTTCTGAATTACATGCTGGATCTTCTCTGAGCTTTCCTTTAACAATAGGGACGTTATTTAGCATCCTCATCTTTCTGAAATAAAATCTAAAGTGCTTTTTTGAGAAAACCTTTGGTAATTTCATTTGATTCATTTGTTTTCTTTGAATTCCTGAGATGCACACAGCTGGTGGTTCCTAGATGTTATCAGTGATTGCAAAACCAAGCTGCTCTTCTTTCAATTAACGTATTGATAAATGATGAGTGTTTCGGTAAGTATAAGAAATCATATACTTTTCCTGGAGCAATGCAGTTTAGTAACAGCAATATAGTTTGTTCTGCAGCTCCAGCAATTCCAAGTCACAGCTCTTAAATATTCCTTGATTCAAGGCATTATCCAACACATACATTTGGTGTACTCAAGACAAAATGTTCTAATAAGATTGCTTTGCTAGAACTGATCAGCATTCAAAATTCAGTTAGTTTTTAATTAGAGGAAATGATAATGGCATGTTATGATAGATTTTAGCTCTAGTAATCAAGCTTCTTATCATTTTAAAGGGAAGAAAGAATAACACCATGGGCCAGATCCTAAAAGTGATGCGTAATTTGAGTTTTCACTGGGGATCTACCGCTAATGAAAATGATTTATTAGAAGTATTGAAGGCTATGACAAAAATGGCCTTAAGGAGGCTAACCTACGAGTTAAGTAGCCCTCACTTGCCAGAATTTACAGAATAATTTTGGATAAGTTTCTTACACACAGATCTACGGAGGTATTTATGGTTTCAGTCTCTGATCAGTAACAATAAGCAGTACCAAATGTTAGAAAAGATTCAAATGAAGTAGTACATTTCTGAATAATTATTCTGAATAACAATGCAATTTGTTCAATAACTACAATTTTTTTCTCTTATCTAAAAAATAAAAATCCACATGCTTATTTGAAGAAAATATATTTACAGAGTTTTCATTCTACTGTTTAATTTTCAGGCTGCAGGATATTTGTAATTTGTTTTATTTGTGTTTAAATCGTAGGGTAGTGTTTCTGCTTTGTCCACTGATTTTATGACAAATGGGAAAACAACACTAAAGAATTGCAGCAAATTGTCAATAGTGAACACTTTCTTTAGTATAAAAGAAAAGCTTTGTTCACATGTGGATTCATATGAAGAACAACTATTTCCTAACTGCTGATGTGCATACAATATTTTTATAAGAATCATGCAAATAGAAAATAAAAATAACCTCTCTAGGCTTTCTTGATTTGAAAATAAACATCTTATAAGGGGGTTAAACAAAGATTGCTCACAGTTTCTGAATCTGAGTAGACCTAAAAATCCCCCAAAAACCTATGAAACTCCTCCTGTGGCTTCCAGGTGACAGCTGACATGACATTAAGTCTATCACCAAGGTATCAAGACTGTTCTCATTCTGGCTGCAAACACGGCCTCTCTCAACACTGAGAAACAGGTTCTTTTCTACATCTAGCCAGTGACTTTTATAGCATTTTGTCACACTGGAAAGCCTGGGTCTGGCAGTCAAAAGTCAAAAGGATTTTATCTGGTATTTCTAGTAGCTAGGCTTGTAGCTACCACTACTGACCGTTCACTAGTGGAGTAAATGAAAATGTAAGTGACCTGGGCATCTCAAACATGAAATTTTATTTCAGTTAATTAATTCTCAAGAATTTTATGAGTTCATGAATAAAACAGGTTGCAGATCTGCCAACACTGGTCCCAAAGAAACAAATGTGTTTGAAACCAGACAAAGAAAATAGGGGAAATTTCAGTGTCTGATCTGATGGCTCAAAGAAAAGCAATGCTAATAACGACAATAATAATCAGGCATGGCAGTGTCATGCACACAGTCACAAAGCACTTGCTGAAAGAAAGGATTCTTCTTCAGGTTTCTCAGTTCCACCACTCTGTGCACCTTTTACTCTGGGCTCACTAAGAGTATTTGTGAAGTATTTCCCTAACCTATATTTTTGTAGATGCACACATGGGCATTACTCTAGATTTGCTTGTTTGGCACATATCACAAATACAACATCTGCATATTTAGAATGGAGGCAAATGGACTCTGATGTGTGATATACTAGAGTCTGTTTGAACATTACACTTTCTAGCTCAGCTACATAAATAATCATCATATGCTCCAGGGCATCATTTCACTCCTTTTCATAAAATAAACAGTAAATGAGACTAGTGAATGTATAAGCAGTTAATAGCAAAAGTAAATAATCCCAGATTAACCTTAGCCTCTTTCTCTGATAATTCCAAGTAATTATTCAGTAGAGCAGCGTGAGATACAACCTACCAAACACCTGCTGTTACAAACATCCATTTAACTAGCAAACATGGTGCTAGTTGTTAACAAATATGCTGCTACAAGGAGATAGATTCAAAGAAGGTATAAATAATGTGATGTTCAAGTGATTTCTATATATGTGTGAAAATTTCATTCTGTTATCAGGATTTTTAACAGAAGTAGCACCAAGGATATCAGAGGTGATGCAATTTAGGTATAAAAACACTATTTTTTTTTAACAATGGGAATAGGTAAAAATATGACCAATGGAATTAAAAAGAACTAATCAAGAAACTTATGAGAATTTTTTTTTGACAAGTGTATTTGACACTAATGTAGAGGCAAACTCTGAAATATATTAATACAGAATGTTATCACAACAGTGAAAGTAATTTTAAAATGTTAATAGAAAATGTCATGGAAAACAAAGCTCAGTGAAGCCTATCAATTATTGAAATATAAACTAAACCATTAGACCACAACATGACTAGTATTTCAAAGTTATAGACAAAAAAGAGGCAGCGACAGGCAGGGAGAAAGAGGGAGAGGAAGAAGACTAATGGCCATTGTAAATGGCTGAGGTATCTTTGATACGATGATTCGAAGAACACTTAGTCATACTTTCTATGTCCTTATATACATGCATAAAAAAGATAACTACATACCAATATTACAAATAGGATTTGTGCATCTGATATGTACACAAAAGCAGTACTTAACCAAAGGAAATAAGAATAAAACAGTACATATTCATTGGATGATTGAAAATGCTTTCAAATAAGATTTTGTCTTTTTCCTAGCCCTCTTTACTTTGCCATTTCTGCAGTTAATTTATGAGACAGGCATTTGCAGGCATCTTACTTTTGTTGGAGAGCAACATAATAAACTGCAAGCTAAGAATTTTATTTGATTATTACTTGAGTAAATTACGTTCCCTAAAAACCTCAGCACTGTAGGAAAGACATTTATTATTCATTGGATGGCAGTGAAATTTCATGCAGTGTAAGTGGGGCCAGAATTTGGGCCATAAATTTTTGTAAAAATACAACACTTCTGCATTAAACTCTCCTCTCCTCTTCCTTGGAAATTCTGCTGAATAGCAGCAACTGAAGACAAATCTGCTTTTTCAATTATATGCTTCCCTCCTTCCTCCAGCCACAAACACACCTCAAGTGAAATAGTTTCCTACCCCAACAACTCATGTTTGATGATAGGCATGAAATGTATTGGGAGCCCAGTTACAGGATGCTCAAGTGGTTATCTTGAATTTGAACTTGAAATGAACATCAGCATGACAGTAAAGTAGCCAAGGCTCCTGTTTTCTCAAGATTTAATTTTCCGCTGTTCTCGCAAAAATGAAGACATAAATGATGACACAGTGATAAAAGACTAATGCTTTCACATGAGTCTCACAGTGTTCTCCAATATGTGTACTCATATTTAATCTGCTGTATTCAGAGTTAGTAATACAATGATGAATGATATAAAAATAAGCATTGTGACACGTACAAATTTGTTCACTGATTTTGAGCTTTGTTTACTACAGAAAAGTATATTTGTTTCAGTTTTTATAGGTGACAACAACATCACTAAAATGATGAGAAAAACACAAATTCACAAACTCAGCAAAGCTTCAAACAAGTTACAAGAGCATTTAACATTTTCACTCACCCTAATCCCAGCTGCTGGCAAATACTGTCTGAAATCTTTTCATTCCAATCATCTGCACATGCCAGGTGCCATACCTTCCCAATCCTGACCTGTACCAGTCCTTCAGTGTTTGCAGAACCATTAAGCAATCTCACTGTAGACCAAAATGGACAGAAGCATTTTAGTCAGGCGATTAAAATACAAAGCAAAACCACCCCCAACGAAAAACAACACAGTATGCACAGATTTATTACTGCCGGCAAAGAGCAAAAAAAGTAAAGATGTAAGATGCACTACAGCAGTAATAAACCCAGCATGTCCAGGGTGTTGCATTCCTACAGGGAGGAAACATTTCTTCTTTTATATTTCTGCCACGGGACAGTTTCATAGCTTGTATTTTGCAAGTGTCTCATGAAAAGACAGCAAATAGTACATTTTCCATCTACTCTAAACAATGTTTATTCTTAGCCAGCACTATGTAATTTCCAACTGCTGTGTGAAGTTTTAGCTATACAATGGCCAGTAATGATAACTGGAAATAAAGTTTAAAAACACAGCTAACTGAAAAATAGGATTATCCAGTTTCAGTTGCTATGAGAACTTTCACTTTCATTGCAGCTTAAGTTAAAATAATAGTAATAGCAATAAAGCTCTCTGAAAACCATATTTCCATCAAAAGTTTTTTCCAAAAGAGAGTATTCAGAAGTAAAATCATCAATAATGTGGTGAAAAATGTTATGCTATTGGCATGATGACTGAAGAAGTTGGAGTAGAAGGTCAACATAATCCCGTCTATAGCAAGAGCTAAAACTGCATTTGAAACAAATAATAGTTATTGCCAGCATGAAGTAAAGAAGAAAAGAAACACAAGGTATTTGTAATTTAATACTTAATGATTTTTTTTTAAATAATATTAGCTCTCCAGAAAACTATTTTGCACTGCTTTTTCCATAATAATTAAAGCCTACCCATAAATAAATAAGAATTTAGGAATGCCTCTTTGAAACCCAGAGCACATGACTGGAGTGATATATGGGAGTAGATTAATGGTAAACCTCAGTCACGCTAAATTTTGGAGCACTATTAAAAATCTCAGAATTGCATGCAGTTTGAGATTTCTCCAAATTATTTTTGACACGTTTCCTCTCTCCTACTCAAACTATAATTCCTTTTCCTTTCTCCTCATCACTTCCACATTCATCTCCAAAAACACTTCCGTTAAGCAATAAAAGACTTATTGAGCACTCAAAAGTATTTAATTCAAAAGTTCATATATTTTAATACTTTCCATATGAAGACATATGCTATGTCTTTCCTTTGCTGTCCATTAGGAGTTTCAGAAGTTGGGAGTATTTGAAAAAGCCAGTTTATCAAGTTTAAAATGGCAGGTATGATAAGAAATTGAAATTCAGGAAAATGAGCAAGTATTTTGGACACTGAAAAGACTCAATGTGATGGTGTCTAATTAAATTTTCATTTTATTTTAAAGATTAGATTGATTCAGCCAATTTTGGATTAAGTGGGTTTTTGGAAACAATTCTGCCAGTCCTTTAATGTGAGGTAATTTGTTAAGAAGGAATAGACAACCTATGGCAAAATAAATCTTTGGGAAAATGTACAAAATGTTAACATAGGTGATGGTAACTTCTCCAGATCGTCTGGAACAAAACTTTCCAGGCCCTCTTTGCTTAAGAAGAAGCTGAAGTGAACTTTATTTTGTTCATTTTAAAAGGCAGAGTATTATAGTAACAAAATAACTAAAGCATTAATATGAAGGCCGAATATGGGCTTTTATACACATATATACATATAAAAGATCAATACTGAAATCAATAAGAACTGTCAACATACATCTAAGGACATATCTGAAGCACAGAAGTCCTCCTTAAAACAAAGGCGGATGATGATGTATAAAGCTTAAAAGCCTGCTTTTAACTTTCCCATTAGTGCTCCATAATACAATGTCAGAAAAGCACTTTGTCAGGAACAGTAATTTGGTTTCTGCTCTAGGCCCAACATGATTTTAACACCAGTTTTACATTTAAGTTGTTGCTTAGGGAATATTATTTCCATGTTATATGAAATGAAGCCATATGTTGTAAACCTAAATTTTGGAAATGGCCATTTTATTAGAAGATTAAGCAACAGTAGCTATTGCTTTCCTTGTTGTAGGAAGGAACACAGTGAGCAACAGATGCCTTTTGCATCTTGAACTTTTGCAGCTGTGTCATGTCTTCACCCTGTGGCAATGCCTATATGAGATGGAGTCCAAGCAGTCTGGAGGATACCATGTGCTGCTCCCCACTCGCAGAAGTATTTGAGAGTTTCTGTCAAGAAGACTTAACCCTTACCAAACGCTACAGCATTTATATTGCTATTAATCTCAAATCAATTGGAGGAAAAAGTGATAAAATTTGGAAATCTGAAATGGATGTAGGGGATAGCATATAATGAGTTTTCATTCTATTTTGAGGTCATTATAAGCAGTCACAAGTTTAAGCACAGAGTAACTTTCTACCTTTACCAGAAATTTCCACCAGATTACATACATTGACTCAGAAATGTGATTTTGCTTTTCTGCCCCTGACAAAGCCAATAGATACTGATGTGTAAATTTGCATGTTTTGCATGCAGTTGCAGTAGTTTACACAAGCTGCATTATTGTGCCTGTTTGCCTAGGTAACACCTACTAAATATACATGCATCCTTTTTCTATGTATGAAGGGAAACTCACTGCATTTTTCTTCATCAGAGCCATCTTCACATTGAGGTAGCTTATCACAAAGGTTATCCAAAGGTATGCACTCTCCACTACGACACTGATATTCTTCAGCTGCACAAGCTCCTAAAGGAGAACAGGAAAGAAAAAGGAAATTTTAATTACTAGGTTATGTTGATGTTCAATGCAGATCATCCAGTTTACCACAAAATAAAATTGATTGAATAATACAGAAGACTTCTTCCTAATGCCCTTCTACTCTAATTCTCTGTTCTCTATTTCCTTGCTTCCTCTTTCCTTTTATCTCTTTTTCAGAATAAAGACTATTTTTAGATAAATAGAAGGGAATATATATCACATACAGATTAAAGCTATAATTATTTCTGTGTCAAAGGTATATTTTTAATGGTGCAGTTTATTTTGTGGAAGTCTTATTTAAGGCAAGACAATTGATCCGCTTCTAAATTTTTAATATCCATATAAAATTATTCATTTGACAGTCAGAATAGACTGTTGTGTAACATGTATGGAAAAGAATATGATTTCTAAACACATTAACTGGCAACAGCAGATGCCAGATTTTCCATAGAAATCATTTTGCATGGCTAGATGAGAGCAGGATTTTTCAAACCCGCCTTTAAAAAAATATATATTTTATACCATAAAAAGTATTTATTGTCAAATTATGCTTCCTTATCAAAATCTCAATATTTCATGAAAAAGTAAAATGTGAAGAAAAATCTGCTTTTCTTCTAAAATTCACTTAATGGCAATGCTTTTATCTTTGACCTGTAGTCTAATGAAAGTAATGTGTATCCTTTGGCTGCAAAGATCATGAATAAGCATAATTCTTTTGGAAATGAAAATCTTTTAATATATTGAAGAAGAACTGGCCATGGCCACTTTGAGAACTCTGCCTCACTAAGCTTAATTCTTATTTTACAACCAAATGTGGGGAAAGGTTTATTTTTGCTGAACCAGCTGAAAGAAGTCTTAGCATTGTTGGGCTTAATAAATGTGATAGAGAAGGAAGAAAGAGAAACAGTAAAATGGACTTATACCATTATAAACCTGCATCTCAGTCTTGTACAAGGGGAGTTAATTTTGCAACAATAAATCAATGGTTAAGATTTTTCAAATATTAAGAAAATTAATATAAGTGCTACTGCTAGTCTGTAAAAGAGTTGCAGCTAGTTAACATGCCTGAAGATATTTGTCCTTATGATATTTAAAGAAAAAAAAGTGTACATTCTTGTTCTCTTTCTCTTCATGCAAGTGAATGGTACTGCACACATCCCTGAACACACTGCTTTTCCATTCTCTTATTTCGGTTGTCAGACTTCCACAAAAGTAACACAAAACCTTTAGTTAATTTCAGTAAGACTTGTTCTAGAGATAATGTAAAGATTTGTCCTAGTAAGCATGCTGCTCTTGCATATGCTTTTGGATTTGGCTCAATTTTGTGTGTTTTTGGAGAGACAATCACTGAATTTTGCAAATGACAGGTCTAACTGCAATCAAGAACAGAACTATTTAATCAGGGGACAGACTAGGACCAGAAACACTGCTGTCCAAATATATAATCCTTCACGTATTAAGTGCACCACTGGCAAGTTTACAGAGGATACAAACTAAGTGGCTTGATACAACAGAAAGAAGGGATGACATCCAATGGGACTTGGAGAAGCTTGAGAAGTGAGCATATGTAAGCTTAATGGGATTCAGCATTGCTTCTGAGTTCGGGCAATTCCAGATATATGTACAGACTGAAAGAAGAACTCATGGAGAGTAGACTGTGGAGCATGACATGGGGGTCCTCCTCGTGGACAAAAAGCTGGCCATGAGCTAGCAGTACCCACTCGTATCTCAGAAGACTAATTGTCAGACATTAATGACATCATCAAATGTGTGAAAAAGTGATCTAATGACAGAGCTTTAATAAACAATCATTAATATTTGCTCTCTTAATATTTAAAATGCTTATCAACCACAATAATGAGTCACTTTTTTGCATACAATTGCAGAGAATTGGAGATGGTACAGATACTGACCAATAGGTCATTTTGTAAAGTATTAAAAATGTCACTTTTTATTCTAGAAAACATAAAGTGCAGATGGGTAACTGCTAATCTTTTTAACTTTTTGGTATTTCTGTTGACTAAAGACAAAGAGATACCTTCTAAGTGCACTTCAATTTTATTGCAGCTCTAGTATAAGCTCTTAAAGACAGGAGATCATATACTTACCTAGATGGTAGCCAGTAGTAAAGTTTGCAAGAAATCCCTTCCTTGTTGAAATCTTGTCCGTAAAAAGAGTTACTGTCATCTGGTTTGTTGTAGAGAAGACATCAGGCAATGGGTCACTTCCTGTATAGACAGCTATTCTCCGGGAGAACATGAAGACATTTATGTTATTTTGTTCTTCTTTGTTTCAAAATGTTTTAGGATTCAATGCAAACACTGCTACTGCATGAATGCAGCTATTTCTCAAAACTAAATGCAATAAGATTGCAATGACCAAAGCTCAACCTCTAATTTGACATATCAGAACAGAAAATAAGGTTTGACCAAGACACTATTTGTCCAGGAGCATGAGCAGTCTTATTTACTGAGAAGTTATTTTCTCTTGGATGTACAAGCTGAGTGTTTACAAACACTTTTGAAATGCAATGTCACATACGGTATGTTATCTCAAGTTCTTCTCCTAGTTTCCGAGACACATAAATATGAAGAAATAAAGAAGAAAGAGAGAATTAATTTCCTTTACATTTGATCCACCAATTTGCTTGAGTGGCCTGACTGCATTCATTTTACTACATATCAGTGTTACTTACCCAAAAGTAAGGAATCTTGTCCTCTGCCATCTCTGACTTCAACAACATCATAAATATTTTCCAGATCAAAAATCTGAAAATGAAGTTGAATGTTTTTTCCTTTTTCGGCATTTAAGTACCATACACCTAGAAAATAGTAACACACAAACACAAAAATCACCTTATTGCTTTTTAGAGTTTACTGTGCAATTTTCATGAAAAAAAATCTCAGCAGCAATATTCAGAGTCACCCAAGAGATGTAGAAGTTTAAATCTTAACTTTAAAAGGAACTTATGCTGTCAAGACCTAAAATTTTGTTGACTCTGGCTCTCTAAAATACCTTTGAAAATTGAATTTAAGCTTCTAAGACATACACACATGTATTTATTACCATTCATGGCATCTGCAGTTTTCTCTGACATAAAAAGGGTAATTATTTTGTACATATGAAAACATGACAAATAGTTTTGTCACTTAATCCTTACACTATTTTATAGTAAAATATTTTCTATCATTGTTCACAGAAAACTGCCTTTAAAGTTATTTACAGAAGAAATATTTGGCTCTGTTTAACCTTACCATATTTATTCTGTGTAAGTGAGGATACTATGGAAATCTTGCAAAGTTAAAAATAAACAACATAAAACACTTTTCTCACTTCATAGAAGGAAAAATATTTTCTCACTAGTTACAATCTCATCTGGGAACTTGTGAAATTAATACCTGGCAATGAGAGCCATATCTCAAATGGGACAAAAACACAGAATAACATTTTTTTTGTGATTAGCATCACAACACCATTCTACAGTTAAAGGTGAAGTAATAAATAATTGAAATTTAATTAAGAAGAAACAGCAAAGTTCTCTTCTTTGCTTCATCAATCAACTGCACATGGCATATCACCTTGAAACATTGTAAGTCTAATTTTCTTTTCAATTTTGTCAACTCCAGCTTAATACATATCAAGTAACATTAGTAGAATAATGCCATCTTTTCACAAATATGTTAAGAAACATTCAATAGAGAAGTAATCAGTTGCAAAATGCATACATTCTGTCACATTAAAAAGGTTAGCTATTTAATAGAAGTGATGACCAGACTACTAACCTGGCAAATACATTGTGGTGAAATGCTAAAATGCAAACATTCAGCACTTTGTCTGTTGTATTGACATAAAAATATTTGGTATGAAAGATGTGATGCAACTGGCCAATCTGAAACATAATAGTTATGCTCATTATAATAATTTTTTAATCAACTGGCACAAGATTCCTTAGCATCTGCTAAGTGCCATGTACATAGACTTTAGTTAAAAGAGCCCACTGTATTCAGCTAAAATCTTTTTGGCTTGACAGTAGGAAAACACATTTAGAACTGTTATTCAACTAAACTTTTCCTGAAGACTTGGAGAAGAATAACTTACAAGAAGCTTGATTAGGATAATTGTTTGGAAAGTTTTCAGAGCTGAATGTACTGTTTGGCTCCCAGAGTTCAACTGGACCCCCACAGTCAGCTGAAAAAGAGAACATTACAAAAAAATAAATAATCTATTGCCTTACTGTTGTAATCAGTTGTCTTCAAAGATAATTTGGAAACAGTAATTTTATGAAGAAGTTATTTAACATTACCACTATGAGGACCCAGATATGTTGCTACTGTTATAAAGCTTGAACAATTAATTATGAGAAGTCATCATCCCAGTAAGGAGCATTGGAGAATGTGTAAGAGCTTCACTGTCCTTATCAGTTGCAGTGTCTAAGGCAGACTTGCTGACCCATATAATTCATGCCATTTTGTTACCTACAGCTAGAGGTCAATGAAGTGCTAGTGGCAAGGTATACAACTGCATTCCTGATGGTGTAATGAAAAATTCCCCATGCAGGCAGTGGAATAACATAATTTCCGTCATATGGTGATTACTGGTCTGCAAACTGTACACGTGACAAAAAATTGGCCAAAAAGTTTATAATTTAACAGTCAGTTAATTTAAAAGCTTGAAAACTAGTATGTAAGACAGGAAGCTCCCCTCACCCCCTTAATATATCAATAAGTGTATATGCCGTGCTTATTTGATTAAACTTTTTGGAGCATTGTATGGGAACTTCTGAATCATGACCTGAACCTCTGAAGGTGAAGGTGAAAGCAATTCACCTGTGCTGCGGAAGGGGTGGAGCCTGGCTCCACCTCTCCTAGACCCCATTTAAGAGCTGACTACCAGTAGGAAAGGTTCTCTTTCTGGAGATCTCTCCTTTTTGGAGTTTTCTAGCCTAGGATGAGGGTAAGCCTTCTATCTATTCTTTTTGGTGTATTAACCTACTTGGTCAAACTTTCTTGTATATTTCTTAATTATAACACCTGTGTATTCATTGATTATACAAGCATTAACACAGATACTAAGGTACAAAACCTATTTTGTCAATTATAGGAAATACTTTATAGCAAGACCATAGGGATCTGTCATTGAAAAGGTTAGAATTTATCAGAAAATTTCTTGACAGCGAAATTTTATCTGATAAAATCTTCAAGTAATTCTAAAAAAACTGCTTAAGTCTTTACTTTTTCACAGTTCATCTTTAGTAAGAAGAGCAGTACATTTTCTGATTCCATAATCTTGTAAATTGTATTGATTATTGTTATTACTGCAGCTACTATTGTTTAATTTATCAATTAAATAACATATGATAATAAATAAGTGATGTGGTAATTAATAAGGATTAAGGGAATAAAACTTCACAGCATAGTTATAGAATACGAATCTGTGGAAATCAAGTGCAAGTCTTGAAAGGAGAGAATCTAGAGAAATACTAATATGTTTTGCACAGGTATCCAGACTTTTCCAAATACGCTCTCACAAAGGAGAGAAGTCAGAATGCTGTGCAAGTATGTCTATAAAGAGATGATTTCATGTGTTATTAGTGATCCAGGCAAAAATAACTAGCACACGCAATATTTATATACTGTATGAGAGAGTTGTAAAAGGGTCAATACTTATCTTTTTGAAAAGCTATTTCAATATAAGTCTATACTGAACTGCTGGATGATATTTTCTATGTTTAGCCTGAAAATGTATCTTAATAGCTATGTAGAAATACAACAGTAAAAAATGTGATAAAAGCTCTTAAGGTATTTATCTGCTTTGATAACTATGATGATTTCTTTTTACCCTTTCTAGCCTACTGACAGCAAAATATACAAAAACTTGTACATATTTTGTAACAGAATATCAGAAGATTGAAAATAACAAGATTCATAATTTTCCTTTTAGGCGATGTTTTTAGATACATTCTCAGCTGAGAGATTGAGCATATAATACATAAGTACTTTAAAGAGATATACTGTCATTTTGAGTTCATCAGGAGCATAAAAGCTTTTAATTAGAACTCTCTAAATGGTAAAAATAGCTATGTTTTTTTCCTTGAAACAACTGCTCCAATAAAAAAGATCTTTATCCTATACACGTATAAGCAATTACATGTAAAAATAACATTTATTTAAAAGCAGATATTCCAGATATATATATGCACACATACATACACTCTCACACCAACACAGATAATTAAATGCATTTTAAACACTCAATGTTCTCTTTCAAGATATAGTAAATAAAGTTGGTTTACATCCAAAATGCATCTAGTTCATATTTCAAAATTTTACTTTAAATTGAGAAATGTTATTTGTGTTTATTTCAGCTGCATTATCATATTTGCCCACTTTACATGCTCTCAATTATTTGTTTCAGAAACAAACACTATTCCTATAGCCCTTTCAGAAAATAGAAGTAAATGCAAAGGAATTCTAATTTTAAGTTTATTTTTATTCTTTTAACCAAATGTTATTTTGTTAACACAAAAACCTGGCTAATCATTGCTTCCATTACAACTTACATACTGTGTCTTGATGTGTCTGTCAGAATTACATACAGTGAGGCACTAGCATAGGGACCTCATAGTCTACAAGCCTTACTGAGTTTGACAATTGAATCTCACTCAGAGGAAGCTCCACCAAATACAAGAAAGTTTTGAACTTTCTCACAACAGCCATCTTACAGAACTTTAATTATACTTCTGGAAAGGTAAACTGAACTCTCTGAAAGAAAAGCAACTCACTAATAAGTGTGTTATGTTTTAGCTATATGGGCCACAATGATAGCTAACTTCTGTAAGTACTATTATCAACAATAAGGTTAAACTGGCTTTTGTTATGAAATATTAGTGGCAATTCAAAGAGACACAGATCTACTGTGAAGCTGCATTAAGAATCTACAATGCATAGCCAGTACCATCGAATGATGTAAGCAATATAAAACAAACTTTCTTAAAGCTGATCTTTGGCAGCTCATGATGAAATCTGATCTAGTGTTGAGTGCACGAAAGGCACAACAATAATGATCTTTTGTCTTGCACAGGAAAGAAAAGGAAGCAGTTGATTTCACTCATGGAAAAGAATTTTTAAAATAAACATGAGTTTATATGGAGTTATACTGGATATATGCCAGATGCTCATTAGAGACCCAAATAGTAATCAACACTAATAATCTTGCTTCTTTCAGTGAGCATAATGAAGGATTTTCTCAACGCTGTAGAAAATGATGACCTTTCCAGAGGGGAGGAAAAAATAATCCTCTGTGCTTTTGCCAAAACATTAATTTATATTGACATACACATTAAAGTGTGGAATCCACTCTGTAATTTCCACACTGTGGTTTGTATTAGAAGACAGGTTATAAATGAATATGAAGATTAAAGCAATCCTTGCTTTAGATGAAAGTGTAAGGTGACAGTCTTGTGTAAATGACAAAAGGAAATCAGCTTTCCTACTACACACCATGGCAAAAAAAAAAAATTGACTTCTCAAACTTTCGTGGCACTGCAAATTATGCCAGTGTATCTCACTGAAGCTCTAAGTCTAGCAAAGGAAATTGGCTCAATGCAAATTCTTTCATCTCTTGTCTGTAGATGTGACATTTGTAGTGAAACCATCAGTGTTAGTAAAGTTGTACCACATTCATCAAAATAATGTCATGCTTCTTTGAAGATGATTGATAATATTGACATTTTTCATCAGATTACAGGCAGCATATATATAGCATGCCTCAACAAAGTCAGAATGCGAACCATATTAGTCTTTCCTCAGGAACTGCTTAGATAGCACTTTTGTGTCATATTGAAGGACAATATGGATCCTCTTATCCATTTGATATGGAGTTAGTTATACACCATACAAGCCCTTCATTCTTAAATATTCAGGTCTCAACACTCAACTTTGGGTTGAGATCCATAGTTTGAAAACCATTTCTGTGACATTTTGACAGCAGAACTCAGCTACAGCCTATTACAGAGACTTTCTACCATTAATCATTTGACTGAAGTTAACTTACAAGGTGTATTTACACACTCAACCTGGAAGAGTGCTGGAGGTGGCATATATCAGCACCTCCTAACAGTTAATGAAAATTGCAGTCAAAGTCTGAAACTTACCTTGATCACCTGACTGCAATTACTAGTGTTAATAACACTTTATTTTGCAAATAGAGACATCTTGTTGGACTTTATGTTCCTTTTTTGTGACTGTGTTCTAAAATTTAATTTTGCTCTTATATTTGAAAGAATTGGCTCCTTGGCTGTTCTGATCCAATGGATTTAAAGGGGATAGATTTGATAGGATATTAGTACATAGAGCATCAATATAAATATAGTGCAAATAGTCTTTTTCTATCATTTTAATTTTAGACTTCTATTAGCAGTATCCTTTGAAGGGAGCAACTAACAGTGCCCTTGTAAGAGACAGTAAATATAACAGGAGGCAGTTCTGGAACATATTTTCTGATTTAATGATTTCAAGCCTTCTGAGAATAGGTCTGGAAATCTTTATTTCCCCAAAAAAAGTTTATGTCCACATTATGTTACAAAGCCTCACCAATTGTTTTATTTTGCCACAACTTCTTTTCACATTTGTATCTATTTTTGAATGTATTTGTGTCAATTTTTTGAATGTATGTGGAACTGTTTGCATCACATAGAATTATTCTTCATTGTTTTATGTGCATTTTCTAGTTTTAAAATGATCCCTATAGGTATTTTTATATATTTTTCCTCAGTGAGAATCTTCTAACTGACTCTGTGAAATTTTAATTTATGTGGAATCTTAAATCTCTGTTTTCCTTTAAAAGACTCCACAGTGTGATGTCTGGAGCAAGCGGTACAACTGGATAAATATATATGGAAACATAATTCCTCCTATTTCATTAACTTTCAGTTGTTGTGGAAAAGATACACAAGTAAAATCAACCCTCCTCCAGTTTCCAAGATTTAGAAGGGAGGCTTAGGAGACAGTTTTGTGAGTTGAAATTAAATTCCTCATAGCATGGAAAAAAATTCCATCCATTGTTACTAGAGCCAGCAGCTACTCCTCGCAGGGAGAAGACTTAACAAAGCACGATCATGTTCAAGAGGCATCTGGATGAAGTGCTACAAGATATGGTTTAGTAGCTTAATGGTAGTAATGGTGATAGGAGGATGGTTGTACTAGGTGTTCTTGTAGGTCCTCTCCAACCTTGTGATTCTATAATCTAGTGATTCTGTGAAGACTAATAAAGTCAGGAGTTGGTTTTGCCATGTTTGTAATGTATGCAAATATTGAAATCACTCATGAGATCAGGCAGACAGAACCCTTTGATTGTTGTGTAGCTGCTTTATTTTTTCTTGCAGTCAGAACTCCTTGCTCTCTTTTCTGTTTTCCTACTGAGATTTTTTACAAACCAAATATTGCTGTTTTTCCTTCTTAATGTAATGATATCTAGAATGAAAAACAACATGGCAAAATGCAAATTGGAAGATCTCATTCACTGTGAGCCTTGTTCCAGATAAATACTCCCATTTTGGGTACTAAGTAGTCATATAGATCATTCTTAAATTGTTCTGGCACTATTATTCTTTCATCCCCCCTTAATCATTGGATTTTTCATTGTCTGAGTGTTCTCAGAGCTTGGAGAACATATGCTGTTGAGACCTATGGAGTTATCATGATGTGACTTTGCAAACGTTTTTCCTCCTATTAATCATTTATAATTTCAAATACAGAAGTTACTATCCTCACCTTTCTTTGTTCTCTCAACTTTACTGTTGTCCTGGAAGTTTTACTAGTTAAAGATTTGAGAAATAAATACTGAATTCTTTACTAATGTACTGAGCCTGGCTGGGATGGAGTTAATTTTTTCCAAAGCAGTCCATACAATGTTGTGTTCTGCACTTGTAGCAAAATAGAGTTGATGTTGCACCCGTATTGTGGCTATTGCTGAGCTGTGCTGGCACAACATAAAGGCTATCTCCACCACCCTCCAATGCCAGTAAGCTGGCAGTTGGCAAGAGGTGGGGAGGGGACATTACAAGGGCAGCTGAGCTAAACTAACCAAAGACATATTCCATTATATGGTGTCATACTCAGTAACAAAAGCTGGAAAAGAGGATGGTGGGACTCTTGTTATGAACGCATCTTTCCTTCTGAATAAATACTACATGCACTGAGGCCCAGCTTGCCAAGATGTGGTTTCCTTGTGTCCAAGATGTGGCTTCCTCCCTCTGCTCTTTTGAAGGGGAGTGAAACAGCAGTTTGGTGGAGTTTAGCTAGCCATCAGTGTGAAACCACCACAACTTGTCTTTCACTCCTCAAGTTTTGCAAGATAATGTACTGATAGCTTAAGCTGTGTATCTATCAATTCTGTTGCTATGAAAGGAGTCATGAGCAACAAGCCTGATTTCTAACAAATATTTTGAAGTTAATTTTATAATGTTGGAGAACTTTGTAAAGCTGAAGTGAGTTTATTGCAGATTTTGAATCACTAAAACACAAATACAGGAGAGAACTGACAATCATCAGTAGTGTTTACTTACTGGGAACTGAAGCAGTAGTAGTGGCAATTGGAAATGCAGTTGGCTCTACATAATTGCTTTCATTACACTTTCCCTCTGTCAGGCTAATATCATCCAAGGCAATCTCACTTGGAGCAATCCTTGTAAAGGCATCAAATATAACCTGAAATTAATTGGAAAAGATATATATACATAATTTAACTTAATGAAACATTTTATCTTTCTGACATTTCATTTCCATTATAATCTGAGCTGGTGCTGTACTTGAGGTGGGTATCAGAAATAAGGCAGGATTCCCAGCAACACAAATGCCTACCATGCAAACAGAATGGATCATTCTAAGGAATGCAGGAGCTTTATATAAGTGATGAACATAATCTGAATCTATTTCATAATTTACATATAAATTAATATAATTTTTGATACACAGCATTCTGTATCACTTAACCAGTCCAAACTTATGATCTAATGACTTATCAACATAAAAAAAACCTGCAATTTATCTGATGTTCATTACAGTGTTTTACTATATATGTATTTAAAGAAATCCTGCTGTCAAGGCATTTGTACAAAAGACATTTTGATTCTTTAATGTATATGGTATAGGTATATATTATATATAAGTAAAGTAATGTAACTGTTCTTGAGATCTCAGAACACACATTTGCTAGAAATGTGATGCAGCCAGGTCACAGACACATTCATTTTCTCAGGGAGTGAATGCATCTTTCTGGCAGTGTTTTTGCATTGATAAAATCTACTATAGCAAGATAAGCCATCAATAAAACCTGTAGGATAAATTTGGAGCTGTGGATCATTGGGTTCATTTGGAACAAAATTGACATCAGTTAAACAAAACTAAATAGAAGTCTAAATATTAAACAAACCTTAAAATCAGATGTTTCGTTTAATGTTACTTGTCCATAAATCCAGTTTTTTCCATAGTTTCCTTCTTTCTGGAAAATTATCTTTTCCAGACCATATTCACTTATGCTAACGCATAAACGGTAAATGTTAGGACTATACATGTAATACCTAGGAGGGTAAAAGCAAAGTTTTCCATTTTTAGACCAAAATGAAACTTTGTGGAGTAATATCTAACTTTTTAATGTTAAGAGTTTCATTTTTCATGATTAAAACTGAAAGTTTTACCTCCTTTTTTTGCCTCATTATCTGTGGATACTTAGTTAACCTTTGTGAGAAAAGTATTTCAGAGATTCTTAGTATTTCTGTGTAGAAATAAATGCTGGGTATGGGGTGAAAAAGAATACATCAAACCTAATTGAAAGATTCAAACCTATAAAGGACTAAAAGTTTCAGAAGTTAAGATTGGTCACAGAAGTCTAAAGAGATGTAGGCTATTACACTGACTTGAACTAATATATATGAAAATAAATATTTTTTTATTCTTAAATGAGCATTATGTTTAGGATCTATGTGCAATATACAGAGGTTACATAGCACTACCAAAAACTTAGACAAGATGGATCTGAAGAGATCAAAGGCAAACTTTGAAGTCGAACTCTTCCTTCTTCAACTCCAAGTCCTGTGGGTGTTGAAATATAGAATCCTGCAATATAATGAGCACATTTTAGACAGTACAGAACTTTCATTTTTCAAATGAGAGCAAGGTGTTTTTTTCTGTTTAAAAATAGTATTGATAATATCAACCACAAATATATGTAATGGATTGAAATATCCATGACACAGTAGAAGTGAACAGTCAACAACATTAAAATGAGCTTTGAAGCTTGATGGACGATCCTCAGAACTAAACATGAAATGAGGAACTAACCCTTCTAAACTCTGTGGGAAATCTGCATTTTCTTTAGTAAAGTAAGGTATTAATTTATTTCTGCTTTGTTTATAAAGATGCCATCCTGTTTGGCACTGTGGCTTTACAGAATTTCCCAATGTGCCATAGTTTTTATTGCATAATAGTGTGTTGAGGCGTGAGGGAGTGACAGTGTGAACACTGTAGCATGAGGAAACATCATAAAAAAGATATCTTATTTGGAGATTATTTTTTTAATCTTTCTGAATTTATTTTTTTTGCAGCTTGGAATTTGAACTTCCTGCTGCAATATGGAAATATGAGGCCAGAAGCATTGTGTTTTATCAGAGAGAAGTGAAAAAGTGAACAGAGATGAAGTCCAAAAATAAGACTTTTGCCTTATTGAAATCTTAGATGTAATTTCAGATTTTATTCTATCTGCATATCTAGCTAATTCCTATATATGCAAATATTACACAGAATTTAAAAATAATTATAATTAATGTACATTATGCCACATTGTTATTTATACCTCCAGATTAGCTAGAAGATTCAAGTGCACACACACAAAAAATATCAATAAATTCCTGAGTTGCTTTCGAAAATCATATATCAAAAGATAAATGATATCCAGATTTAGAAAATAAGAGTGGCATTCTTATTTAGAAAGTGTCTTTATGTAGCTAAAATGACAGTCCTCTGTCTTTATTTCATCAATTTTCTGAGCATTCTGATTCAATTTAGGAAAACTTGTCCAGTAATGAATGATGTTTTCCATTAGCACTTCTGCTGTTAGAATGTTTGTTATATTGCATATATCATTTTTAATGAATATACTGCTGTGTAACAATCAGATGTGAACCAAAAGTGAAGTGAGGTTTAAGCATAATCTAACCAAAATAATTTCTAATGGAGGTCAGAAGTATTATATGGTTTGGTTTTGAGGCTTGTTAAGTATGCTTTAATTCTTCTGCCAGCAGCAAAAAAAAAAAAGTGCAGCAAAACAAAAGTACACTGTCTACGTAATATCTAGATATTAACACTACAGTTCATGCTTTATTTCAAATAGAAATACTAGAAATATTAACATTCAAAATAAAAGTAACATTACATATAGTAACATTATATATGTCAGCTTAGACCTATGAAAGAGAAAACATCTAGAAAGTATTTTCAAGACAGCTGGAAATCATTGTCAAGTGTCTCAGGAAGTAAGTATTACATTCTCTCATTTGATATGTACTCTAGGAGTTGAGTGGGAAAACAGTGAATTATTTAGAAAATGTTCATTTACTTAGAGAGAGGAATAATTTGTATACAATAACATGCTGAAATATATTTTTCTTTTCCTGTGAGTAATCTGCAATTTTCCCAGATACTCGTCACTGTATAATTTATTTGTCTTGCATAGCATACATACACTCATTGTGAAATCCAAATTATATCTACTACTTTTAATTGGGCTGATCAATCAGCTGAGACAAATTGTTTGGTTTTCCTTTTGAACTAGAAAAACTTCTGGGTTCAATTTCTGAAAAAGCACCCATGGTATGCATTCAACAGTATTGTCTCCGTAATTAAAATCCACACATGATATGATCACTCTGTTGATAAAGTTATTTTGCTATAGATGTTCCTGGAGTTTATTGTGCGTATGTGTATTGAAAATTAGTGTGTCTAGTGCGTTATTGTAACTAAGAAAACAGAAGACCTGTATACCACACAGGTCAACATTTTTAAAATAAAAATTATTCTATGATTGTCATGATGTAGACACAGATGAAAAAGTAGTAGTTTTGATTAAAATTTTTTTTCTTTCCTTTAAGGTAAAGAAGGTATTTTTATTTTTTTTTTACCTAAAATGCTATTGTATAATAGAAATATCTTCCTTGGACTTGGAACAGTGTTAAAAATGCTTGATACCTCATACTTTAATCACTTCATATATTCCATTTATTTCTAGTTTTGGTATACTTACACAAGAGGAAAATGAGTTGCATAAACCTTTTTGTCTGATAGCTCTGAATCACTTTTATGGCAGAATAAAATTGCATCCTCTCTAAATAAAACAGCTTAGGCTTGTATAACATAAGCTAAAATAAGCTTTTCCGTTATTCTGAAGGCAATTTGTATGTGACCTTACCTGACGCATTGCCAAATGTATGATCAAAATCAGGACCACTCATAAAGGGAAAGGTAGAGCCCTGAAGTCTTTCCCAGTCTAAATCATCATCTAAATCTTGTATCCAGTAACAAAAGCCATCTTCAAATGTGCAACTGACTTTCTCAAAATCTGTTAATAAGAACCTCTAGTAAATAAAAATGACAAATATATTAAATATTTTCTTAGATTTACGTAAGCGTAAGTGACAAAGTTTAAATTTTCAAATGCATTTGAAAATTGGAGCCTACAGTGACTCTCTTCTAAGAAACATGATTACTCACTGAAATATGTATTTTTTTTATTGTCCACAATTCATTGTTGCTGAAGGTGGCCTGAAGATTGCACTCCTTTATCAAACTTCTTTCCTGATCATTTGCCAATAAGTGGTAAATGAACAAGAAAGGAGACCTGCATAGCAGATCCGAAGGACCCCTTCCTCTTAGCCACAGTTCAGGCTGCTCCAGCTGAAAGGGCCCTTTATCAGAGCCACCAGCTATAAGCTCAATGTATAAGTGCTGTGCTTCACGCACCAGGAAGGTACCTTTCTTTGTTCTCTGCTCCTTCTTTGATCATACAGATTTGCTGAGACATCGCTTTTCTTCCCACAATTTGTCCTGTGTCTTTTCATGATGCCTTGAATTCCAAATCAGCCCACATGACAAGAATTTAGTGACACTTTGGATGTGTCTTCTGCAGCATACCCCTTTCTAGTCACATTCCCTATTCATTTCTGCTCAAAATTCAGCAGCTGAAGCAATCTTCACTTGCAAAATCTGCATCTAAGTTTTTTAACAACTGCTAAGGTACATCAGAGCATGAGTTGTATTGCTGCATTTTGTCACTGAGGACTTGTTACATCTGGATTTTTTTTTTTCCGTATCTATTCACTGAAGCAGTATTTTCCTTAATGGTTGTTTTACCACTTGGAACTGCTATTTGTGGCAGTGAGATAGGACATGAGAAACTATGGAGAACAGGTATTGCCTAGAGATAACAAAGTAATGATTAGTGGCAGTGATCATACTGTGTTTGTTAGTGAACGAACTTGCTGAAAGGAATCTCAAGGAAATATAGCCATCGTGTTATTCTTTTATTTTAACAGCACAAGCACTCTAAGTCAACTCCCTATTGCTAGATCCAGCCTCTACGACTGTAGACAGTCATTTTGAAATTGATGATATGGTCTGTAAAAAAAAAAAAAAAGATGAAATTTCTCAGTGTGGGCCCAGGTAAAGGATTGAGGCTAGAAAATACTGCGTCTCTTTCCATTTCCATTTTATAAAATGAAACATGTAGCCTCATCAAGCATTGCAGACTACCACAGCAACAACAATAGCATAAAAGAACACTTACTTTTTAGTTCACTTGCATTAAAAGTAGTGTATGTTGCATTAAAGCCATTGTAGTTTTCAGAATAATCAGATGTAAACCTGGCTGTAACTTCATGTGAAAAAATGTGAACTGTCTCAGGTTTAGACCCTGAGAGAGAAGCTGAAAACAGAGTAAATTAGTCAGTAAAAAAACAATCCCATGTATAAAGAAATCCCCAGCACTGTTATAATAAATAATATATAAAAAAGCTCTTTTGAATTTTAAATAATACTTTCTCTTGAATTGTGATCCTGTCTACAAGACCTTCAAAATTCTGAAGCCATTTAGTCATTTGGCTAATATAATTATATATAATTATATAAATATAATTATTCTGCATTTCCCATCTCACATATTTGCCAATATGGATATCATCAGCTAGTGGAGAATCATCGTTTATACTACAGTGTGATTATACTTTTATTTTATTATATAATATCCATATATTAAAATCTAAAATCTTCATATACATGCTGCTTATGCTGCAGATTTTCTCAATGTGTACAGATGTGCACTCTGAAACTCTGTAATAACAATATTGAATATATATATTTGTTATATATACTTTCACGGTTTAATAATTAGTACATATGCTTACAGATATTTGAGGAGAAATTCTGAAATTAATGTAAAATTATTTATTTAACTGTAGAGTCTACTGGAGATGTACCTTTTAACTGCAATGTTTTACAAAACCAACTGAAGGACAATCTTTAAGTTTATCTTTACATCATTGCACTATTACCAGCCACTCTCACAACCATCTTAAAAAATGTGCAAGTTAATGGTTGCTGCAAACAGTACTACTGAAGCAATCTCTCACAGAAATTTAAATCCCAAAGTGGATTTATATTCAGAGCAGTACTGAAGGAATGGAGTGTCTGTATTCTGTATTCCACGTCTTTCACTACTTTACAGTCCCATTCCTTCCCTGCTTCCAAAAATATGAATACATATTAAAGATCTTTCTGACATAGAAAGATTTCGGATCTAGACATTTATCTTCACATAGATGAATTCCATTCATCTGGATAAACTGAGTCTAGTGAAAAATGGGCAGAAACCTAGTTTTTCAAAATACAATATAGAAAGAAATTATTTATCTACCTTCAGTATCTTTGCTATTTTCAAGTCTGAGTCAATGATGCTACGCATATAATTATTTGCAGAGTACCAAGTACTCATCACATCAACTTCAGTTTAGATCACTTATTTTAATGTCGCTATGGATGACATTAAAGGATCATGGCAATGGTCAAGGTATTTACATTTTTCAGATCAGACCTTTAAAAAATTGTGTTTTCTTACATGTTAGGGAAACATTTATCTGTCCATTGCATAAGAATGGTTGAGTATATTGAGATCAACTTTAAAAGGAAAACTCTACATGGATTCATTTTTTTACTTAAACATACACGTGCATTTTTTTCAGTTTAAAATCTTTTACTACATGAATTCAATTAATGGAAAAGTAATATTAGCTGAAAAATAACTTTACCTCTTAAAATCTTGTTTTGTCCTATACCTTCAAAAATATTTAAGTTGTCCATAAACTGTTCTGTATCAAAAGAAGTGAAGTTCACCTTAATGGATAACCCTTGAGGCACTCTAAGATGAAAACAGAAATGTAAACCAGAAAAGACAAAAATTAAAAAAAAAAAAAAAAAAATACTGTAACAAACTCACTGTGTGCTTGAATAACATTCAGTTCAGAAACAAAGTGAAATAACGTCAAGCAAGATGATTAATTAACATTAGCTATTTGGCTAACTCCTAGTTTGTAGAATTGCAGATGTAATACGGCATTGACCTTTAGTAAAAGTGGTGGTATTCCTGAACTCACTGGAGTCAAGAATATTTTAGAACTGAATCTTTTAAAAATTGAGAATATGATACTCAGTTGGACAGTCATTTTTTCTCCGTGGTTCATTAATTCTAAATCACTTTTGAATACATTACCGATAAAGAGAATTCTGCCTGAGCAGCTAGATGCTATAAGTAGAAAAGTAGTGTGATGGTATCAATATGAAGAGCAGGACATCAAAATCTTTCAAAAGAGACAGGTGTAAATCCTCCTTTATTATGAGGCCTTTTTTAAAAATGCCTTTTTAAATTTACATGAAGATTTGAGGATCTCAAAAACATTGTTTGAGAATATGTTATCAAATCTAATAATCACCCAGTAAGTTTAATAGCATTTGTTTTAATAGAAGTGTAAAAAGTGCTGTATTTTGTTTTTACTGAAATTATTAACTTAGTAACCTATAGTTAAATAGATATATTTATAGTAGTACGAATTCTAAAGCAGTGTTACCATGTTATCACAATCAGTTTCTTATATCATCGTTTGTTGTTTTTGGTATTGAGAGAGCCAATAAAGATTTTTCTTTTTTTTCTTTTTCTTTTTTTTTTTTTTTAACAGCAATCTGCTGGCACTTACCAATACTGCTTAGTAGAGAAGTATGAATTTATTTTTTTAATTTTTATTTTTTTAATGTTTATCCACTGGTAAACAATTATCATTTGTTTTAAAATGATAAAACATTTTGTTGAAAGTTAAAGAGAAGCTTATCTTTCAGGGAAATATTGAACATACTGCTCTTACTTTTGAAAGGAGAAGAAATTACTTCTTCATGGAAAAAATTAGAGGGGTGGAATTGTAAAATCAACACAATCTTGTGCTTATCTTATGACGTACTATATATTAAAATATCTGTGGTATAGGTATTGGTGAATGGGAGGGGCAACTGTATCAAACAAGAAAAATGATGACTTTTTCCAGAAGCGTAAAGGTGAAGATGTAAGTGCTGAATGAACTCAAAGACTGGAGCTGTCAAATGAGCCTTTGGAAGGAAGTATTTCAAATCTTATTCAATTTTCAAAATATTTCCTTAATCTGTTTTGAAACTTTTTTTTACCAAACTAATACTTCACAGAATCAAAGAATGGTTGTTATTATAAAGCCATCATCATAATCACTGCCTCTCAATTCAGTAACTTCTGAACTGACAATCATTCTGTGGATTTTAGAAGCTTCAAAATTCTAATCACCTGTCTTATTTTAGGTGTGTACTTTAGGATGAGATTTATAGCATACTATAGCTATCTTTTTGTTCTTCCTGGGCTATAAAGAGAACCTAGAGCGTCAAAGTCAAGTAGCTGTCCATCCCTATAGGTGTGTATGCTTGATTAAACAAATTTTATCTCCTTTGCTGAGAACTTTTGTTCTGTTATGATGCTATTCAGTGATATGTATAATTTTAAAATATTTCTAAATGAGTTAGGACCTCAAATACAAATAATTGCTAATTGAACTTTGTACCCCTAAATGGTGGGAATTCTTGACAACTCCACTTTTTAAAAATAGTGATGTCTTATAAAGTTAGTAACTAAAAGCTCCTACATACTATCTGTATTGCAATTACTTTGAGTATGATTTATTGTGAGCTTACAAATACATTCTTGTACATACATGCAGCACACCAGATTTATCAAAATCATACACAACTGTCGTTATTAGTGTCAGTTTTGGGTCTGCAAGTTTTTAAAGAAAAACTGTGTGAATACAAAAGAGAAAATGCTATTTCATATTTTCCATGCCATATTTGAGAATACAAACAAATGACAGAGGGTTGATGTACAGGAAGCAATATCACCTCATAATTGAACAAATGTTAAGTAGAATATCATCAGAAAATGGCTTACAGTATAATCCACTGGCAAACAATATTTGCATTATACGGTTTTGGATAATTCATGGAGTGAAAAGACCCAGAGGAATCAGTCAGCATGAATTTTCCATCACAAATCGCAGCTGTAAAAATATAATGAAGAACATTTGTCAAAATGCCATTTGAACAATGGAAGCAGTGTCAAAGTGATAGTGACCTTAAATATTAGTTTGCAACTATTACCTAGAAAATACCTTGTAAGCAAGAATGGAAAGATAAACTAAAACACATTACCATCCCACTCCCGTTTTGAATTCCTGTGATTATTTAATCTCAAAATACTACAATATTATAGACAATTTAATTTTACATTAGAGACAGTGCAACTAATCCAAACTAGTCTAAATCACTCAGTCTAATTAAAAATCTTTCTTTTTACTTTTTACATTATTAAAGAAAGTGTACTTTCTCTTCGTATTTCTTATCTACTGCTACTTTAAATGAGGAAAACATGTCTGCATTATCAGAAATAATCTGATATCATGTTAATGATGTCAAGAGATATGGTTGACATTGCTTTCTCTACTTTCATGATTTCCCTGGTTCCTTACCTTACATTTTACTAATTACTCAAAGAGCTAAGTGGATATTCTGTATCCTGTCAGCTATCAAGTTCATTCATCTAAGCCAAACCTCCTTCATTATGATGTAATTTTCAAAATATTTGTATTAGTTTTATTTTCTTGGTGTTGCAATTTCATTTTATGCATGCTCAGTTTAAAAATCATTTAGTTAAAAAAAATCATATTTTTAAGCTTCCACAAGACTAAAAATGTTAATTCATGTAGAGTTATTTCATTTCTGAAGACACTGAAGCACTGTTGAAACCTTTGCTGCATCTCATTGAACATGATGCAAAGATTCCAAGGATGGTTTTCCTTCAGTTTTTAGAAAAGCATGATAGAGTTTCAAATAATGCTATAGTCAGGACAATACATGATTAGTTGAAGAGGTAAATTACAAGTTCATCAATTCGAGGCTGATAACCAGAATTAGATACAGCTTTTCATTAACATCAGAAGTGAAATCATACCTATAATGGCTATTCAAATTATGAATAATCAATCATACTGAAAATTAAATGGAAATTTTATTGACCGTAGTTCTCCTCTGGGAAATGATTACATAAAATGATAAATCAGTGGTCCTTGCCTGTTCATTTGATAAGTGTAAAATTCTTTCTGACTATCACTGCAAACATAACATAAAAATCAGGCTTTGTTTCTGTCAGGTTTAGTCATACTATGTTAATAAAGACCATGTAGAATGAATTTCAGTAACAGTTATAGGACTCAAGAATAAGCTGGAATAGAAACTTGTTAGCATGTTCCGTTTTGCAATTCTCATAGTCTTTGGGAGGAAGCCAGACCATATATGGTTTTAAATACATGGAGAAAGTAGGTTTATGAAAGAGATTTACTATTCTATATAATCTTCTAATCAGGTTAGACTAAAGTTTTGGAGCAGGCATATATTGCCTGTCTTCACGAATGTGCTAACATTTACAACTATTTTTTTTTACTTAATGGACAGAGAAAATACTATGGATATCTTTCCAAAATCAGTATTTATAAAATATTCAGAAATAGTAGAGGGAAAGAAGAAATCATTAACAAAGATATTTAATGGAGACATTTAAAAATATAACATCCACTAGCTTAGCTTTCAGTTATAGCAGAATGAAACTTTGGCTATACTTGTGGGATGAATTTCAGGTGTCAACACACTTAATTCCACATGCAGCCACCAAATGGAAACCAACGGATATGAGGAACACAGGAAAGGACTGGAAAAATAACAGATACCATGAACAAAGAAAGGAAAAGGCAGTTAAAGATAGTAAATGACGTAGTAATAAACAATGTGATATAGAATTCCTTACTTGATGCCATTATTAGTTAAGAGGAGTAAAATTAGTGTAAGAAGAAGAAGAAAAGTGCCTGACTCTGAGGTGTGAAGTGTGAAAAGCAGTAGTACTGGTGACTAGCAAGACGCATGCTGACCTAAAAAGGGTTTTTTAGCACCTGCAATAATAATAATAATAACATATTCTTTTTTATAAAAATAGTAACTACATTTTTCTCTTTTCAATAATTACTTGCTGTTCTTGTTTTCTTTTCCTGTTTTTTCTTACCTCCTAAGAAATACTGAATAACCTGAAACAGGACAGAGAGATAAAGGCAAAGCTCTTAAGTTGCTGTCCACTGTCTAGGAATAGTAAATGCTTGATATCTCAGGAATGACCTGGAAGATGGCTGGAAGCCATCAGGATGAACTTGATGACACTCCTAGCACTTCCACATTGCAGGGTAGAGACTGGCAGAGTAACAACAAGTACACTTTTTCCTGGAGCCCTCAAAGAAGCCTCAGCTGTTCTCCTAATGAGGCAGCAGACATCTTTTATAGGCATTACTTCCACTGCTTCCCTACATGTCTCTGTCCATTTTTGTTTATTCATGTGGTATACAGAGAGTATTAGGAAGGCCTAATCCTGTTATCCTTGTATTCCATGGGGAAGCTCCCTGACTGGTCAGATCAAGTCTACAAATTTCATTTGACAGGCCTTTTATGCCAAGGGCAGCATATTTCTTCCTGGCTTTCATATGATTGATCACTCTCAGTACTCTAGTAATGTTGTGAGGTAGGTAATCACAAAATGTTAGCCTAGACATATAATAATTGATATGAAAGTCTGCAAAGTGAAACAGCTCCTGGGCTCAGGCTCCAGTCTTCCTTATACTCATGTGCTACATGGCTGCTTTTCATCATTGCAAGCTGTTATTAATAGATGCTGTTCAGACTTTTGCATTTCTCTAGAGACCCTTTATTGAAATTCCTAACTGTACTTTTGCAATGGCCTTTTGTTACTGCACTCCATTGCAGAGCCAGAGAGAAACCTTTCAAGATAATTTTCATCAATAAAAGCAAAGAATGAAGGTGTTCATTTTCTGAGAATGTTAGACTTTCCTGAATTCTGTTTAATGCACAAAAAGACTATTAAATATTCCACACATATCCTATATTTTAATACTACAAATATACTATAAACTCAGGAGTACTTGACAAAAATAGTCACCATAGAAAAACCCTGAGTTGTTTAAAGGGTGACAACTCCACTGTGTGAAAGAGCACTTATAACAAGAATTATATATCAGCTATAAATCTCATTGTAAGACACTGAAGTACTTCTGAAAATCTAGACAATTTTAGCTTTTATACTACTGTATTAAGCTACTCTAGGGATGTAAGATAAATGAAATATCAAAGAGGTAGAAACATTGGCAGGTATCCCAAATGTGCATAAAACTTATTGCCATTTGATACACTGGTTTTGCAAAGTCTGCTATGAAATCTAAATATATAAATTTAGAAAACTCAGTTTTTTAGATGGAAAATTTTTAGACTGAAAATGTAAAATAAGTGTGATGGAGCAACAATTTGTCTTCCAGCCAGAACTCTTTTTCTATAAGGCTATGAACTGAAACTAGCAATCTAATGGCAACTGAATTAATTGCTTGGAAATGCCAGGCATCAGTAAAAATGAATAGGACCAACCCATCCAGATCACTAAAGTGAGCCATAAGTACAACTCATTCCTTTCATGATTTTCTGCCTATTTGAAATTGTATTCATATTCTGAAATGTTTAGATCAGTTGTACATATTTGTTAGTGACTACTGAAATGTGGCTATGATAAAAAAATAATATGTTAAGAAGTAGGGCACTCAAAATTTATATGTGGCAGAGAGTCAGAGAGAGATGCAAACCATATCCAAAAGCTCTGTGCGTAAGAGGTCTCGTAAAAAACTCTGCTCGAGCACTATTCATACCTTAAACCACATTGCAGCCACCAGGACACTACTGAATCATGTATACATCACTTTGACTGCAAGTGGATGAATATCAATGTACGGGTGTCAATTAAATTCTCATCTATAGTGGGTAGGGTTGTAATAACTGTCATAAAATATGAGTAAAATTTATAAATTTGAATCTAGTTATTCATAGTAGCCAAAAAGATTAATTTTTATGAGACGTATATTGCTAATTATTAACTATGATAAGAACCTTCACTTCTTCATTTAGCTGTGTCCACAATAAAAACAAAACTCATCAAAATATCAAAACCAAACCCTACATCTCAAAACAACAGTGAAACAATAGAAATGAATGACTGAATAACTCTTTGGTGTTGTGCTACCCTAAGCCCTGCAGTAGCTAATTTAGGATCTTCAGATTTCCCCAATGTTGAGTGACCTTCTGATCATGCGGCTGTGGATGCAGCTATTAAGATAAATAGAGATTTTGATGTGTTTCAATGGATATGCTAAGTATTTTGAAAGATAGTTTCCCCAAAGTTTTGACTAAATCTCCCTTCTCAGCTGTCTTCAGTCAGAAATGTGTAGGTAACGAGCAGGCCTGCAATTAACATTTTTGTCTGAAGAAGATTCCACTTCTTACAGGAGTCAGCATGTCAGCAGCATTCAAAGACAGTCTTGCAATGAGTGTCTATATAATAGATATATTCTTAATAATAAAAATTATTAAGAATATTGATCTTTTGTTTGCTTCTTTGTTTTTAAACCAGAGTTCAGCATTTTACATATTTCTGAAAATTTGGGCCAGACTGACTCCACTATCCAATAGAGCTCAGAAATATGTTGTCACAAAAGAAATAAGTTTTCCAGACTCCTCTAGTACCAAATTATATTTTCTAAAAAACACCTCAGGGAGCTAATTGCTCCAGCATCTTCCAGAACATTAAAAAGTTCTCTTTGCTAGAAAATACTAGAGCTGAGACTGTGAAAAGCAACATAGACACTAGCAAATGTACCTCTCCATCAAAATGTGCATTTTGGTACACAGTAACAGACTCCTTTGTACAATTTGACAATATTCACTGCTAAATGGAGCATTGTCAATTCTTCAAACACACAAAAAAAAGGGGCTCAGGGAAATTAGATAAGGGTGAAGGATGTAATTTTTTGGTTGTAAGATTTTCACAGAATCATAGATCAATTGAGATTGGCTGGATGAACCTTGTCCAACACCCTGCTCATGCAGGGTCACCTAGAGCTGTCTGCTGAAATGTTCACATCGTAGAATCATAGAATCACCAAGGCTAGAAAAGACCTCTAAGATTATGTAGCCCAAATGTCCGCCTTCCACTGTTGTCCACTAAACCATGTCCCTCAGTACTATATCTACATGGTTGTGGACTTGAGCAAGGCCTTTGACATGGTCCCCCACCACATCTTTATCTCCAAATTGGAGGGGTGTGAATTTGATAGGTGGACCACTCGATGGATAAGAAATTGATTGAAAGGCCGCAGACAGAGGGTGGTCATCAATGGCTCTATGTCCAGATGGAGGCCGGTAATGAGTGGCATCCCCCAGAGGTCTGTCTTGGGTCTGGTGCTCTTTAACATCTTTATCAATGACATCGATGACAGAATTGAGTGCACCCTCGGCAAGTTTGCTGACGACACCAAGCTGAGTGGTATGCTTGACACAGTGGAAGGAAGGGATGCCGTTCAGAGGGACCTTGACAGGCTAGAAAGGTGGGCTCGGGTGAACCTGATGAGGTTCAACTCAGAGTTTTGCACTTGGGTTGGAGAAATCCCAGGCATCCATAAAGACTAGAAGGAGCAGTCCTTGAGAGCAGCCCTGTGGAGAAGGACCTGGAGGTCTAGATAGATGAAAAACTTAACATGATCCAGCAGTGTGCCCTTGTGGCTCGGAAGGCAAATGCGATCCTGGGCTCCATCAAAAGAGGGGTGGCCAGCAGGGACAGGGAGGTGATTGTCCCCCTCTACTCTGCTCTTGTGAGGCCCCATCTGGAATACTGTGTCCAAGTGTGGAGCCCCCAGTACAAAAAAGACAGGGACCTGTTGGAGAGGGTCCACGAAGATGATCAGGGGACTGGAGCACCTCCCCTATGAAGACAGGCTGAGGGAGCTGGGCTTGTTCAGCCTGGAGAAAAGAAGGCTGCAGGGTGACCTCACTGCAGCCTTTCAGTACCTAAAGGGAGCTTACAAGCAGGAGGGGAATCAACTCTTTGGAAGGGTTGATAACTGCAGGACAAGGGGAAATAGTTCTAAGGTGAGGGACGGGAGATTTAGGTTGGATGTCAGGGGAAAATTCTTTACAGAGAGAGAGTGGTGAGGTACTGGAACAGGCTGCCCAGGGAGGTTGTCGATGCCCTGTCCCTGAAGGTGTTCAAGGCCAGGTTGGATGGGGCCCTGGGCATCCTGGTCTAGTATGAAATGTGGAGGTTGGTGGCCTTGCATGTGGCAGGGGAGATAGAGATTCATGATCCTTGAGGTTCCTTCCAACCCTGGCCATTCTGTGATTCTGTGATTCTGTGGTTCTTGAGCACCTCCAGGGGCAGAGATTCCACCAACTCCCTGGGTAGCCTCTTCCAATGCTCTATCACTCATTTGGAGAAGAAGTTTTTCCTAATGTCCAACCTGAACCTTCCCTGGCACAACTTGAGACCATTCCCTGTTGTCTTATTGCTGTCATCTGGTAGAAGAGTACAACCCCCCCCTTAATACAGTCTCCTTTCAGGGAGTTTTAGCGACTGATAAGGTCTTCCCTGAGTCTCCTCTTCTCCAGACTAAACAATCCCAGATCCCTCAGCAGCTCCCCATAAGAACTGTGCTCCAAAAACTTCACCAGCTTTGTTGCTCTTCTCTGGACATGCTACAAATCATCATCTTGCATTTCTAATTGTGGTTAGCAACTTAATATTTATCTAGTCCCATTTTCTAGCACTCAATGTAACAAGATGGAAATAGATTGCCAACAAAGGGTGCCATGATGTGAGTCGCACTCAACCGTTCTGCCTACAAAATGTTGCCACAGGACACCCCTATCACACCATCTAAGTCTGAGGATGTGGAGGCAGAAGGGAGGTGGTGGCCCTTCATGTGAGATACAGACTCACAGAATACAACTTTTCTGATAGAGCAGTACCCAAACTCTCAAGAAGGTGGCCAACTGATCTAAATTTGTTACCACTAAAGTGAAAATAAAGAATTCCTCTCCATTCAGTATGAAAGGTTTTAAACTCAGTGAATCCTTAGGTGTGTCTAATCATTTCACAAAGGGCAAATTTCAACTGTCTTCTAATTTATTTATAATTTTACTAAAAATACACTAAAATAATAAAAACAAATCTAAATAAAAAGTAAATTCAAGTTAGCCTTAGTTTAGAGAGTACACTTCCAGTTGAAGCATAGGAGATTTTACCAGGAAAAGTCAAACAGATGTTTTACAGCTAATGTTACTGTAGAAACTTTACAGTGGAATCAGGCATATCAGTTTAGTTCTTGCCTCATTTTTCTATGCACAAAGCCAAAACCAATTATTTGGTGACAGAGAGGAGATCAGCAAGGAGAATACATAGCTTTTATGGAAAAGCATAGTGAAATAAAATATCACTGAACCAGAGTGTATATAGTATATTGTAAAAATCTGTTCGTAGTATTTTTCATGAAGATATTTTTAATGATGGAATCAAAAGATAAACCTCTCTTCTAACTCTGAATATGACAGTAAGTAACTTCTGGTACTGGATAATGTGATTTAACATTTGTTTTTGAAAAGAACATATTTGATATTACTTGTACACAACTTCATATAAGATTTTGACATTGTTTTATATTTTCTATTATATTTATTTATAGTTATTAATACATATATTAAACACCATCTTCTATATCATTTTATATTAATGTAGATGCGTTGTATTATTTTCTTCTTATATATTGAGCATATTATTCATCAATTAAATTTTTAAATGAAATTGTTTGCATTTACAAGATAAGTGTTATAACACTTAGATATTGTTGCTATTATTTTTAGCAGAGTTAATTTGGACTTCATTATGAAGTGAATTGCTTATTAAGTACTTAAAAAATACTGACAGTTTTACGTATGCTCAGAAATACTGCTTTAAATAGATTTACATTCTTACCACATCTTTTTTCAGATTCATCTGAACCATCTGGGCAGTCCAAGATTCCATCACAAAATAAATCCTTTCCAATGCAGGTTACTCCATCATCACAAACTTCAGCAGGCGGCAAGCACTCAACTGAAATAGAAAGCAAAACAGCAATAACAATAAAGCAGCAATGCAGTTTTACTACAATGGAAAATTGACTTACTTTTGGCTACTCTAGCACAAATCAAACCAAACACTCTATTGTGTTTCACAAAACTGCATTTTTAGAAGCCAGGAATGAAATATTGCATACTAAAAAGGAACGTTTAGCACAGAGTAGAGAATGGTCTGAGAAGTGGCATATTTTTAAAAATTATGGTTGAAGCAGGGCTAGAAGAAAATTTCCATGAATTCCCATCTCCTTCCTCTACTTAAATAAACTATTTTATGCAATACACTAAATACATTTTCAAATTCGTTATTTCTTTGTAATTTGATTAAGTAAAGGCATTTTTGATATAAGTGTATGTAAAAGTGACAAGGACTGGAAATTTTTTTGGATGTATGGTAATGTTTCAGACTAATTTACAAGTAAAAACTTTCAGTGTTAGCAGCAAAAAGCAAAAAAAGGCTGCCATTTTGAATCCAATTGGTAGATGAATCAAACCAAAAGTACATCAGTCAAGTGATGGAGGTGTTAGTGTCAATAAATTAATTGCCATGGATGAGTAAAGATGAGACTGCATTCTAGACAGAAAAACAAAACCCTATCAATAATCTAGGAATATGCTTTGCCCAATACAGAAGAAAACACTGTTTACATATAACATAATCCACTCTAAATTAATTCTTCAAAATCATAAAACTAAACAGCATTGCCATCTACTGGATATAAATAAATTAACATTTTCTAGTGAAACATTTTGACTTCTTTTGGAAACAGTAAATTACCCTTAATTGCAATATGACTGCTGAAGTCAACTTAGAAATGGCAGTACATAAATAAGACCCATTTAAAAATGTTTATAAATGTCATATATATTTCACCATTTTATGAGACTAGGGAAAGTTTTCAACAATTCAAACAGGTTTGGCTTTCTATCCATCAGAAATACTGTGAGAGTTTTAACCAGTTATGAATTTCCTTTAAACCCTAAGAAATAATATGCATCAAAAATGAACAGTTAGTATGGGTATCAATATACATATATCAGCATTTGTATAACACATTAAGCATTTTTGTAGAATGTACAGTCTCTTTGAAGAGGCCTCTCTAGTCAAACTGAAGGTAAACCTGCATGTTATGTACTTGCAGAAATGGAATGCAAGAAATAGTATAAAAGCAAAATATACAAAAACAGTGTAATCCTAAGATCTCAGACTATATTATAAAACTGCCCTGCTTCTTCCCATATGAAGTTACCTACCTGAAGTTGTTGCAGCCTTGCTTGTTGTGAGTTGTTCTGAACCTGCATAAACACAACCCTGCATTAGAACTTTTTGCTCTCTGAATGTACCCCTACAGTTGTTTGGGCATTACGAAGAAGCTACTGATCTGCTGTTATGAGGTCTGCATTATTCACTGTATCTCAAAACCCCAACTGAGGCAATGGTATTGTAACTCCAGTTTAAGTGATTTGAATCTGATTGTCAAATGTCCAAATAAATTTAAGAGAAATAATATGGAAACCAAAATTATTGTAAATTACATCCTTTTATACTTAGTCTCATGCATTTTCAATAACTTCAAAATGCTTTTTAAAAATTTATTAAAAGAATCATAGAACATAGAACAATAATGATTTCTTGTCTTCTCTTTCCCTTCCCTATTCTGACTGGAGTTGATGCCAGAGAACTTGTAAATAGACCCACAGGATCTGCTGAAAAAAAGAGAAGTTATGAGAACTTCAAAATTACTACTAAATATGTAATACTTCTTCATATAAATAACATTGCTCAACTAATTAGTGGTCACAGTATAAGGAGACTCAAATCTGTGTAGTTGCATATTTACATACTGGCATATTTACATATATGTGTTCTTACATATTTACAAATAATCAAATGCCTAGGTACTTCAGTAGACTTGCATTAGTGATAGTAAATTGGAAAAAAATCTCCTTCATACTTTCTTATGATTATTCCACATACCTTCCCACAAGAGATTTTTTTAATAACGATCTTCATCTTATTGAAGATGTCTCTGGACATTCTCAGTTCCTACATTCTCCTTTTTTCCTCTTTAAATTTCTATTAGCATGCTTCTGTACTTTTTTTTACTTATATCAACACTTAAATATGTGTCATTACAGTCAATGGACCCTTTCAGTTTATGAGATGACAGGCTAGAAGGAATAAAGTGGGAAATGTAGTAAAGTCTTCTTTATATTTTATCATCTATCACTTTTGCTGTTAGTAGTTGCTGATCACTAGAGTCAGAGGCAGTTAACTTTTGTTAGATGTTCCTACTCAAACTTACTGGTGCACAAACTTGCAAGAGGATTTGCTAATAATTTTCTATTAAATCATGTTGATTTGGCAAACACTATTAAGCTAAGTCAGTTTGTAGTAAATGGACCATTCAGGACCATTCTATGCACCAAATCTGAGGACAGAGTTCAAAGACAGGAGAACAGAGAAAGTGCAGGGAGGGTGCAGCTGGATGGACTGTTTTCTCACAGCTCACTCAGCAGAGGACATCACTCATAGCTTCACAGTAGTTTGTGAAGTATTACATATGTACATATCTAACTAATTTACTTCTTGATGTCTCATTTAATGGATCATTATTTTGGGAGAAAATAACTGTTTAATAGATGCATGCATGAGCACGCTGTTCTAATAAAACAAATCTTGAAGGTTGGTAAAATAGGGTTGTTACAGGTGTTACTCCCAAATGTGCACATATAAGTCGATGATAAAAGCCACAAAAGCAAAGACATAGGACAGTGATGGAGGCATTAGTAGTATAAATACAAACCATACACGCTCAATTACTGAGCAGTTTCACTAACAGAACATGAGAGGTGCATAAAGTAGGCTTTAGGGTCTACAGAGAGAGTAAATCCAAGTTCCAACAGATATAGCATACTGCACACTGTAAAATGTGGGCTTGGGACTAAGAAAGAACAAGGAAGCTGGTAGTATTAGCAAGCATATAAAGATAACTGGATTTGGGAGTTGGAATCCATGAGCCTTGTGGGTCTCTTCCAACTCAAGGTATTCTATGATTCTGTGACCTCAGGGAGACCCAAAAAGAGAAGGAAGGAATCCATCCATGCTAGAAATACAATTCCAATTCCAGTTTAGGATGCCAGCAACTCCCTACTCCCTTCTCCCTTCCTCCCCCTCACTCATTTTCTTCTTGCTATGGACAAGCAACACTGACCTTAGGACTCAAAGTGGCATTAAGATAGCATGCCAGAGGAAGTGATAGGAGAAAGTCTGTGTATTATCAGTTTTTAATGGTATCATTGGGAATAAAAAGTAGCAACTGTATACTTTGGACTATGTGCGTTAAGAGGCTTATAATAGGACTAACCTTTTTTTTTTTTTTTTTTTTTTTTTTTTTTTTTTTTTTTTTTTTTTTTTTTTTTTTTTTTTTTGTTATGATTGTAATCAGGCTGCTGATAAATAGTTGTCTCCTATATTTATAGGTCTATATGTAACATATGTATCTTCATATTAATTGCACAATGTGCCTGATTCCGCCCTGGATAATTTGTATGTGGCAACTTGTATGTAATATGTGTATCTGCATCTTGTGCTAAAAAGGACATATTGTACTACTCATCTCTCTGGTGGGTTTTTACTATGCAATCTTGTGAGACAAGATGTGTCTGCCCTGTTCCCTATATTCACAAGTCTTCCAGTGATAGCAGAATTAAAGTCTACTAACATTATTCTGTATACCAGTAACATAGTATGTGAATCTACCTGTCTGAATCTATGAAAATGTCAGCTTGTGGCTTAGATGGTTGACAGATTCAACTTTTGTTTTGATCCTCAGATTAAGCTCTTACAGCTTTTGTACAGACTTCAGATCACTGGTTTCTCAAATGGTCAAAAATGATGAAGGGCAGCTATCACTGAATGAACACTACCAATCCCCAAGAACAGCCAAGGCAGCTTTCTTAAACTATACCAGCTGAACAGTAAGTCTTATGTTTCTTCTGCTGTACAGATGCAAAAAAATAGTTTCTGTTTTATGAAGGATACTGACCTGATGAAGTTAAAGGCAGCACTGTAGTAGTAGGATTTTCAGCAACCACTGAAAGAAAGCAAGTTCATTATGAACTCCTTTTATAGTATCTTATCTGTTTTTATACAAAATAGAGAGAAAACACAGTAAAAAATCCTCAAAAGCTGTGTCTGTTTCTTTTTGTATCACTAACAGTATCCTGCTTCTCTCCTTTTGACCATTTCACATTATTTTCTCAGACTTTGACCTTCCAAAGGAGGAAAAGTCTCTTAATTTCCTTCTATCCTGAGTCTCTGGTTATTATCTCACATATAAAATGTCTTTATCTTGGAAATCTCTGTCTTGACTCTTTTATACCATGGAGCTTTTCAGAGCATTTGCATCATAAAGCAGTATTAATATCAGATAAATTAGTTAAAATTAATATGGCATTATTTGCAAGATAGAAAGTCATTTTTAGTCACTATGGAATTTTATTTGGAGCAAATCACAGGTAAGTGTTGTAGTTCGTTCCCTCTATGATATGAAATAGAAACAAAGTTTGTCTTGAAGAACATATTGAGACATTGGAAGCAAAAGTGCTATGTATATGTAGGATCATTAGTTACAGTTACTTTAGTGTAGCACTCCTGATAGAATAGACATGACATCTCGCGTGGAAAGAGACATTTTAATGATGCACATCAAGAAAAGTTTTATTGCTTCAAAATTCATCAACAGATATGTAATCTTTTAAAAAGCTCTTCATAATTTCCTTTGGAGACATTTTTCAAGTATAATGAGCAATTGCTTTCCACAGTGACGTGCAGCTATTTAGAACAACTTCTTAAATGTGGTAGAGATAGTAAAAAGAAATAAAGATGTCAGGACTCTGAATTTAGCCTTTGAATAGCTGAAGTACTTTGCAAGAAATGCACCTTTAACAACAGAGTAAGAAGTGTTGCATAACAAATGTTCTACTCCTCTTAAGGCAATCAGTAGCTACTTAATAGTAGCTCCATCAAGTCTTCAAATATCAGCTAATCAACTTCCACTTCAAAGGATTCAAATTGTTTTTTATCATTATACTTAGTGAAGGTCTATTTTGAGTCTTACTGAAATCAAAAGAAAGATTCTCATTGATTTTTCTGGGCTTCTTTTTAGGCTTTGACAAGTTTTCTAGTACTTGCATAAAATCACTGTATTTGAGTATTTCCAAAATTTGAAAGCATCTAGTTTTTAAAGCTACATCATTTGTTTCCCATTTATACTTTAACTAAGTATTAGAGAAATTTGATACTTGGGCATCCATCTCCAGAAGTCACATTTAGCTTGTATTAGCTTGCTATTCTTTTTGACATCTTTTCAATAAACGAGTCCTCACTCACTGTGAAGCTGAACCACTTTCCTTATTCTTGAGCCAAACAAATTGATAGTTGCATTTACTCATGAAATACAGTCAAGGCTTAATTGCATTAATCTGAGGGACAATGAAATTACAAATGTTATGCTGCATAAAATAGATGCAGTTGGGTGCTTTTGACTGGGAAATCCCTACTTTGCCCTTTGTTCCTTCCATAGCGGACATACACTAAACTGATTCATACTTTCTGTTTGACAAGGTTCTTCCACCTGCTGATGGAGATGGAGTAATGGAGAACACCCATAAGCATAACAGTCCTTCTGACAGTTGGGATCCGAAGTTGTTGCTCATATTGACAGCAGTTTTCAAGGATTTATATTAGCATTACCTGTGATTTCTATGCTGTTCACATCAATTTTCAAGGTCTGAGAAAGATCAGTTGCATTTGCGTTGATACCTGAAAGTAACTCATTTTTTATTTTCTCAGCTGTTACTCTCTGGCTAAGATAAAGGCCGAAGATCACAACAACACTAGCAATATAAAACAGAAAGTGATCAGTTAAGCAAGATAATGGAGTGAATCTATTATTTGAGCTACTGATATTTTGACAACATTTAATTATAATAGGGGTTTCAATTGTAAACTCGAAGTATCATAAAGTGCTGGGTGGTTAAGTAAGGAAAAAGCTCTTAATTATAGCTTAGAACATTGGAGAAACTGTTCTTATTTCCCTTGCAACTCTTTTATCTATTATATGAGAGAAAAAAGCAATAGTACTGTTATTAATGCAATGAAAATGAATTGGAATAAACTGAAGAAGTAGGCTTATTCAATACTTAACAGGTCTTCTAGTTTAATCTCTAAAATATTGATAGTGAACCTGAAATTTTCACAGTATAAAAATATACCACAAACTGGTCAATGCTGTATAGCAAACATCCTCTATGGATTCTGCTTTCACGAGGATCTGCTGTGTGATTACCTATATTTCCATAAGTAAACAATAAAGGCTGCAACCATAGATATTTTGAAATCAGTGGTTGTACTTTATTTAACTTCTGTGAGGCCTGAATTTTATCCAGAATTTTGTTTCTTTGCAGTCTCTTACTCCATCATTATATACAATATTTGTAGCTAGATTGAAGTATCTGATTGATGTCAAAGTATAATATGTGCTAAAGATATATATTTTTTCCATTTACTTAGATTTAAGCGTGTTTTTTTGTATTTTTTTTTTATTCCTAAGTGTTTATAGTATCAAATTGAAACAGACTCAGCAGTGTGTTTTTTGATATGGCCTGCAGCTGTACTGCAGGATTGAGCAGTTTGCAGTGTAAGGAAAAACTCTCCTTTTTAATTTCTTGTTTCTCATAACCTCTAGGCCGTGCTGAGTAAACAAAAGCTTTTATTGCTTTCATTGTGACTCAAAAGAGTTTTAAAGGTCAAATAATAACAAGGTTGCCCAAAGGGATAAACACCTTTTTAATGGAAAGAGTCAACTTGAAAATCATTTTTGAAATAAACAGATGTTATTTCAAATCAGAAATGAAGACAGATGTCTAGATTTCCATTGCATTTGATGCAAGGAAACAAGCTGTTCTTCGGCATGATTGATCTCCTGAAAAGGCATCTAAATATAATGGATGAGAAAACCCTTAAAGTAACTTTTTTTCCCTTTGTTTATAATCAGTTTTGAGCAACTAGCTCAGACACGCTTCTATCTTCAGTGAAAAATTTTGATAAGTCTAATTCTACATGCAGAAATGAAAGTTTGCTACTTGGAACCATCTTCACAGAGACAAAAGCCTGTATGTGCTACCTACTTCTTTTCCCTTAGTATTATAAAATGGTATTATAGAATCCTTCATAAGGTTACCATAGTCCATCTTTCCATGTAATTTGTTTTATAACCTCACTATTACATTCAATCAATTGATTCAAATCTGCTTCTGATTTTCAACATACATGTACTCATAGTTGGCAAATATCCTTATCCTATTAGTAAAATCCCTGTCTCTTGCTCATGTCTAACTAAATATTGTTCCATGTAATTACCCTGTTTCAGACGTCTTCAAGATTTCATTACCTTCTTCAGGGTTCCTATAGGAAAAAAAAAAAAAAAAAAAAAGCATGTTATTCTCCTTGAGCTTATAATGTTTAATGCTGTGGATAGGATGGAAGTATGTTCTGGAACTGTATAAAAGTGGATTATAGTATTATATTTGCTGTGTAGACTCAAGACCATATGAAGAGCAGTGCAGGTTGAATTAGTACCACAGAGTTCACTGCATTTACTGAACTGTTTTGCCAGATAGCCTTCTGTAGGATGACAAAGATAAAAGGATATTGAGAAGTGAGATTAAGCTAGTCTTACTCTACCTATACTATGGATTCTTTAGGACACAAAGCTTTAAATGGTACCAAGTGACAGCTCCACTTGCAGATTCCTTAAGTGATATGATTTAAATGGTCCCGAGTCCGTAGAGACGTATTAGTATATTTCCATCCATCTCAGCTTATGCCAACAGAAAGTCTCTGTCCTGAGCTTTGTTCTAGATAGGAAGAACAGGAAACCTGCAAATTTACTTACTTGAACTGAAAAATTTCACATCTCTCAAATTTATTTGTCAGATCACTTGCTTGAAAGATTTCTTGTATCTGTACAGAAAAGAGAAATCTTTAACCAATAAAATGAAAAATACACCTACTTGCACACTGCATTCATGGTTTTAATATATTTTCCCTCCTCATACTTCATATCAGCAAACTTTTTTTGATGCTTCACTGATTTTCACAAAGAAAGAATATATTGGTCCTGAAGATGTTGGTTGGCACTTGTCTCAACATGAGACAGCAGTGTGCCCAGATTGCAAAGAAGGCCAATGGCACTCTGGCTTGTATCTGAAATAGTGTTGTCAGCTGGAGCAGGGAGGTGATTGTCCCTCCTTATTCAGCTCTGGTGAGGCCACACCTTGAGTATGTGTTCAGTTTTGTGCTCCTCATTGCAAGAAGACATTGAAGCCCTGGAGTGTATTCAGAAAAGGGCAACCAGAGCTGGTGAGAGGTCTGGAGCGCAAGTCTTGTAAGGAACAGCTGAGGGAGCTGGGACTGTCTAGTCTCAGCTGATAGAAGACCTTACCACTTACTAAAATCTCCCTGGAGATTGTGGTGAGGTGAAAATTGGCCTCTTTTCCCACGCAACTAGAAATAGAACAAGAGGGATTGGCCTCAAATTGTGTCAGGGGAGGTTCACATTGGATATTAAGAAAAATTTCTTCTCAGAAGGAGAGGATTTGGTCAGGATTTGGAACAGGATGCCCAGGGAGGTGGTGGAGTCACCATCCCTGGAGGTACTCAAGAAATATTTAGATGTGGTACTAAGGGACATGGTTTAGTGAAGGAATATTGGTGGATGGTTGGACTGGATGATCTTGAGTGTCTTTTCCAATCTTGGTGATTCTGTGATTCTATGATGACTTCTGATCAAGCTTAAGATACTAAATGTCACAGTCTGGAGAAAGTAAAAAAGCATCATCAACAGGTTATGTTAGGAAATTAATGTAGTTACCGCATACTCTTGGTTTAACCAGAGATAAATAAGTTCTTACCAAGTGTTCAACATCAAAGGCAAGGACTTTGAAGTCGCCTGATGATTTATCTTGCAAAGCAGGAAGGAATGATGTCCCAGAAATTATTTTAAATGTTCCCATGTAGCCTTGGCTATTTCCAGAAGTTTGAGCTAGATTATTAAAAATATTTATAAATATTTATAAATAATATAATATAATATTTATAATAATATAAAGAAATGTATTATATTTTATTCTACACAGATCATAAAAACTAATTTTTTTTTTACCTGTTTTGCTTTGTGTAGAGAGATATTTTGCCAAGTGCTGATTTGTAATAAGTGTCAGATCATTTTTGACAAATTTAATAACTGTAAACATATGAATACAACTTGTCCTTGGTTCTCATTACTTTCAATTTCACACTGAACTTTCCAGCAGCAGTGTGAACAGTTAAAGGAGACAGTAGTATTACTGTAGGGGTGCCTGAGCACTAGAACAGGTTGTCTGGAAAGGTTGTGGAATCTCCATCCTTGAAGATGTTGAAAAGCCACCCGCACATGGTTCTGAGCAGACATCTCTAGGCAGCCCTGCTTGATCAGGGTGTTGGACTAAATTGTCTCCAGAGATCCCTCTGAAGCTAAATCATTCCCTGATTCTGTGAATCTCTGTAGCGTGTGAAGCTATCTCTAATATAAGGAATAAAGAGAGACACTGGAAATTCTCAGATAAGAGCTGAATTAACATAACTGATAGAAAATACCTTTTGTTTACCAGTTATATTACCAGGGGTATTTTTAGAATGGGATTAAAGGCATTAACACCCAAGAATGAATTTAAATAAAAGATAACTAAGAAATACTGTGATGGAGGGGCACAACCTAGTGATACTAATTTCCTAATATCAACCTTACCTTAAGCTTCTATTTATAACTGCATATCTATTTAAACATATGTTTCTAAATAGTAGTTTTTTTTCCTTTCTAAGTAAATCATGTCATATATAATTTTAAAACTTAGAAATATTATTTATACATGATGAAACTAATGCTAGTGCATCTTCTATAAGAAAGACACATGTGAAGCTCAACATCTCCCTTGTACTGGGGAGACCAGAACCGAACATTCCTGGTGAAGGGCACAGTTAATATAAATCTAAAAAAATCTTTAAGCTAAAATTTCAATTCCATTTAAAAATCATTCTGTGTAGATTTTTTAAATTTAGTTTACTTCAAACATCATTTGTGTGATTTTCTCACATTATGAGCATCGAGTAGATACTGAGAATTACTTTGTATTAATCTTACATAATGCTAGGAGCTGACTGTCTACTATAGAATCTCTCACCTAACTATATAGTTTCTTTCTTTCTTTCTTTT